CTGAGAGTACGAGATCAATGATTGAGTCTCTTGCGAAAGCTAACGCCGCCGAGGACTCGAAGGTCGGTGTCGACGTTGAGAACATTGAGGGATTCAACATCGAAAATGAAACCTTCATCGAGCGAAACTTCACTGCTAGCGAGCGGGAGTATTGCCTGAAGGCACCGTCTCCCCGTGCATCATTTGCTGGTCGGTGGAGTGCCAAAGAGGCGGTTTTCAAGTCCCTGGGCGTTAGCAGCAAGGGCGCGGGCTCTCCGCTGAAGGACATTGAGATCGTCACTGATTCAACTGGTGCGCCTGCTGTTCAAGTAAGTTACCACTTTTAACTTGTCATCTTCGCACCCGACGCTAATATGTTGCTAGCTTCATGGTGTTGCTGCTGAAGCTGCCGAGCAGGCTGGTGTCAAGCAAGTCAATGTTAGCATCAGCCACAGCGATACGCAGGCTGTCGCGGTTGCCGTGTCGAAATTCTGATCTCTCGGCGAGCGCATATGCTGCTTTGATTTAATGGGAGTGTATTGATCATTTTCATGTTTCTTGACCACATATTCATACAGATAGATTAATCCGGGCCCGGCTTCCATCGGGCCAATCAGCCGGATCTTCCTTTTAAGTCTTTTGCCTTCTTTATCGTTGGGCTATATCTCGAGCAACAGTAGCACATACAAAATTACCCGCTCTTGATACTCGCAAGTGAATACTCAATCCTGTTCGATTGACTCACATTTGTATTCGTCAAGATCACCTAGGTGTCAAGTCGAAGTACTGATACATGGAATGGTATAGCACCTGACACGACTTGGTAAAGCAAGGAAGATAGTTCACTTAGAGCCTACAGTTTACGAAAATGCAGACAGTCGATTAGGGTCTTATGAGTAGCGTCCCCTTTGAAAGATAAACCCAATTCATGCTGCAGATGATGTTCGAAGTAGAGGAGTTCACTCCCATATAACGACGTATTGCCTAATCTAATGACCATGCGAGAAGAGGGGACCAGGATCAACGGCGTTACCTACCCTCTACCAGATGCTCTACTCAAGGGACCCCAGTTTTCCCGAGGGTTAAGCTGATATCGAACAAGACGCTTTCTCGTTGAGAGCTCCTTCCCTAAAGCCTCATCAAAAACCACTTCCAAAGTGCTAGGATGAGGTCTAGCTGTGGCTTTGACCCGGGCCAGTGAGCTTTGACCAGAAGTAGACGCTGTGGAATCGCGATGGCCATTGCTCTGTGTATCGCGTACCGATTTAGTCTCTGACGCTCGATGGGCACCGGCCCGTGTCAAAGCAGCTTCAAGCCTGCTAACTACATCCGTAATATTGTGCTCTTGCTCCATTACCATCTGAAGCTCCTTCTTCAATGAATTTAGCAGTTGCTGATCCTGGTCACCGTCTGTGGGGATTTTTCGGCATTTCGACATGATCACTGCGCCAGGACTTCCGGGTCTGAGAGCGCCCTCCTTGACAGGGGACTTCTGTCTGACCCATTCCCGCATAATCTCCCAAATCACATCCCAAGGGGCATCAGTCCGAATTGTGTTTGGTTTCGCATGGGTGCGAGTCGCTCGATAGCCCAAATGTCGAAGTGCTCCGCGCATCGCATCGATGGAAATGGTAGCAGTACGAAGAACTTTCGATATCGCACTCAAGCTAAAATAGAATGGGCTTTTGTCACTTAAGGCGGGGTCAACCCGTGGAATAATGGCAGCAGTTCCGGCTTCTACCAACGGTGCATCGGTAGTCTTCTGTGAGTTGTTGGCGTCGCCAATGTCGAGGTTCAAATCTTCTTCGGATGCCGTTGTTAGCATTCCTTCAATTCTGTCGACAGTTTGATAAACATCTCGGTCTAGCTTGGGAAGCATATCAAGGATATTCTGAATGAAATGTGGGTTGTGAAGTGGACCGGCCCACATTGGACCCCCTACATGCATCTTCGAACCGCAATGTTCACAACGGGAGTCTGAAGTTGGACCCTGAGCAAAACCAAAATGAGGAAAAGGCTTTCCTTTTTTGTCAAGCTTCTGCTTGGTCTGCGTCAAAGGCTGGGTTGACCATGCCCCGCAGCCCTCGTCGCAATTGAACACCGTCATCATATTGCCAGAAACGAACTTGACCTGGGCAGGGGAGCGATGAACCCGGACAAAAACTCGCGCATAAAAATCGATTGAGAGAGATAATAGGGGCTCGATTGCAAGTCCATACTTGGCGGCAGACATTGCAATTGAATGCAGGATCAGGCGCAGTCCCCCTTCGTGGCAATGTGGTCCTTTGACCGGAACGCCACCATACAAGGCGAAAGCCTTCTCAGGATACCCATGCGAAGCCCACACTCCTGCATCAGTACAAGTCACACAAAGAAGGCCTCCATCTTTTACTGCCTGGACCGCAGCGTCCAGGAAAGGTGAAGCAGTGCCGTATGGATCCAAATCAATAACATCGAATTTGCCAGAATGGGTTACCGCGTCCTGAAATTTATCTTGCTCCAAAAGGCTGTACATGAAGACGCGTGCATCTCCTAAATTAGGGCGGATACGCTCCTCGAGTTTGTTGTATTCGACATTCGTCTTCATTGATCGAATAGCAGACTCTGAAAGGTCGTTTGCAACGACGTAGGAAGCAAATGGGATCTCCAAGGCATAACGTAGCGCACGCAAGCCTGTAGCAGAAAGAGCATCTAGGATTGTGAATGACGGCGCCATAATCTCTTCTGAAGGCAATTCGGGAATTGTTGCAGAGGCGGGCTCAATTGTCTGTGCACTTTGGTCCTCTGGCTGGGTGCCTTCGTCCTCTCGCTTGCGCTTCTTACTCTTTGTCCCACCACTTTCTGCTAGCCTCTGTCTTCGTTTTTCCGCCTTCTGTTTCTTCACGGCCAAGACATGCTCCCCAAAGGCCCGGATTGCGAGAACGCTAAGGTCTCGATTGAACTGCTGAATCGGGTTGTAGAAAACGGATTGAGATTCATCGTCAGCCTTGAGATCCTTCCTCGTGGCCTTAGAGGCAGCGTCTTGAGAGGGAGGGTTCAAAATATACGCCTTTCCTTCTTTTACTGCTCTAAATTCCGTGCCAGCGTACTGAATCAATTGCTCCGAGGTGTCCATGGCGCGAACTTCAGTATGGAATTGGTGCGGATGAATTCGCCGAACGGGGGCTGGCGTATTCACCGTTGGGCGCAGAAGAGAGATTGACAGAACAGTAGGAACTGAAGCTTGAGAAAAACAATCGACGGGTCTAAAACGAGCAAGGACAAAACCAAACAGGCTCATTGACTGACTTGGACGTCACAGAGAACAAGTAAAGTAGAGAGAGAATGGAAATTCTGGGGGAAGTGAATTTTTCTTTTTTTTCCCCCGGGGAGAGTTTGAATGGTATGGTACAAGCTCCCGGCGCGGCGCGGGAAAATAGAAAGAGGCGTGCGGCGGGCGGTCCACTCTTAAACCATCAGGATATCCAGCAACCTGAGCCCGCTTAAAGGAAGTCTATGTTAGACAATGCTCATGTGAGGCACTATTCTACCGCCGCCGCCGTCGTCATCGTCGTCGTCGTCATGTCATCATTATTATTATTGAAACCACGCCTATCCGGGTCGCATTCTGTCCGAAGACATCCAATATATTATACACAGAACCCACGAACAGGCACGGCTCATATCCAGGGTCCGATAATGGGAACTTGATTGTAGATATCGTTCCATCCACTGGCCTCCCACCCAGAGCCCTGACCGGCACGGCCAATGACTCCCAGAGCGCCAGCCAGCCAGATAGATGCTCCCACTGCAGCGATCGCATTTACAGTCCACCACATTCTCTTTTGTCTGCGGCATCGTTGCTCACTTCCAGTATAGCCAAGGTACCCTTCGAGAGATCCCTTTTTGGAATTGTGCTGCTTCCGGAGGGTCGTAACCTTCCAGCCCATCCACGAAGCCCACCCACCAACAAAATGCCATACTCCAGCAGCGACAAAAACCAGATAATAAATGTTCCAGAAAACCGGAGACCGCGCAATGCCGTGAGCCACATAGCCAAGCCCCACTCCCGAGCTTCCTCCGTCGACCAGGATCGGACTAATTCGATTGACGAGGACGTGCACACCAAGTAATGGAATGAGCGAATACCCCAAGCGTGCCTGCAGGCTCATCCGTGGCCAGAACGTGAGCGCATAACGCTGGGACCGGGTTTCTGCGCCATAGAGTCGGGCCCGCCGTGAGGAGCGGATATTGCGCAGAGCGATGCCGGAAAGGACATGAACCAAAACCGGCACAGTCAGAACAACATGTTCAAGTGACGGGGATTGATAGAGGGGCCTGGTGAGCAACAGATAGTTTTCGCTTGCGCTTACGGAGCGGGTCGCGAGAGGAAGTATTGAGGTATTGGCAAGGTGCAAGGCAAGAAATAAGCTGGGCGGATACGTCGAGTATCGCTGAATTGCAGATACTAACGATATTCAGAAAGCAAGGCATTAGTCCATGCAGGGTCAATCGCGACGGAAGGCTAAGTAAGATGAAGAGGCAACGGAGGAGTCGTACACCATGAATCCCAGCTATGCCCGCGGAGACCTAGGCCGAGAGACGGCGGTGCGCTCATGTTCTGGCTCAATGAATCTTGAGACAGTTTAAGCGGCTCCGGGGAATATTCGCCGCGCTCAAGGTCTGGAAACTCATCCTCCACCGGAGAAGGGTCGATTTCTTGCATGGAAATGAGTGAGCGGGTATCGATGTCCTCCGGCTTGTGCGAGAGGCCGTCTGGGGCGGAAGCCATGGCGACAGGAGCACCAGGATAAGTTGAGTATGTGTGGCAAGGCAAAAAAGGGAGATGTCAATTGATTCAACACATCATGTCGTAGGACTAAACGTGGGCGATTTTCATAACCAGTGACGAGGTTCAAGAACTTGAAGGAGAGGGAAAACAGACGTTGAGTTGATGGTTGTACTGTACATGCATAATTTGAAGCACGATCATTGGCTTGTAAGTTACGCGTACCGATCGTTGACGGGTATTTTTTCCCAACATGAGCACGACACAGGATGTGCAGGTATCGTCCGCGGACGTCGGTCCGTATTTCCTACTAATACGTTCTTTAGCTGATTGGAAGGAATAATGGTAATTCGAACTCTTGCATACATTTTACAGAAAGCGAGTTCCGACATACGAGTACTTCCATACTAGCACTACCATTCCAGCAGTGCTCAAAGACCTCAAGATAGGCTTGGCAGACTTTCCACTTGGTTGCAGTTGCCAGTGATTCAGTACAGTGCTATTACGCTATCATCATCTTGTTCCAAGATGGCGCCTGCAAGTGCCCGCGACATCCTCTCTCTCCTCTCGGGTCTTGATCCAAGGAGCGATCCTTGAGATCGAAGACAGGGCTTTTTTTTTCTGACAGAAACATCCTTCAATAGCGCGGCTTCACCAATCCTACTCCCAAGGTACGACCCTCCGCCTATCCATACCTTGCCCACAACCTCGGCTGCTGTTGACTTCGTCTCCTACTTGCTTCTCACCAGACTGAATCGGCGCGCTCCGCCTTGAACTCTTTCACCTGCACACTGTGCAACAAATCCTACTCCCGCCACCCCGAATATGAAGCCCATATATCATCATATGATCACCAACACCGCAAGCGCCTGCAGGATCTCAAACAGCTTTCCCGGGATCCGAACGCTGCGGAGAAAGCAAGACGAGCAGAGCGGAAAGCTGATGCGGAAGCCGGCCTAAGGGTACTAGACACCCACAAAGGTAGTCCCTCAACAACCGGAATAGCTAGCGGAAACGGCCTCAACTCTGAGGGTGGGGGAGGCTTCAAGAAAGGAGGTTTCAAAAGCTCCTTCACGGCAGTAAAAGGACCCGTTGCCCCAGGTGCGCCTACCAAGAAGAATGTTCTAGGGGGGGATGACGATGATCATGAAGACTCCACTAAGCCGGAATACGCATATTCGGACAATCACACTCGGAAAACGACAGCGAAACGCCACAGTCCCCAAGACAGACAAGAGGAAAGCGATACTGAATGCGAAGTTGCCGATGCGGTTTATTATAATCCTCATCACCCTACAGGTTGCTACCACGGATGTGCAGGGAGTAGGACGGACAATCGAGCTGAAATAGAAAATGTTTGAAAAAATGCAATGCTTCGACCTTTACGAGGCATACGGTTTAGGTGGTATTTGATTACTCATATATGTCACCTGTCCCTCTACTTGTGGGTGTGGTTTAGGCGGTCTTTCCTTTCCACCAAACTGTGAATATCAACGTGTATAGGGTATGGTATCTTCACCTACACGGTACATTTTGGTGACTGGACAACTACAGAAAGAGTTTTGAAGCACTAGCGCATGAAGAGATCTATAGGAACTCGGTCATCATAAGTTGTTGTCTAAAAATGCAAATTGGAATTGGTTCTGTTGTGTAGTCGTACAAAATTCAGAGCACATGGGAAGGCGGGGCGAGATGGAATATTGGGAGTGATTGCCAACAATCACGAGATGCTAGGCACACGAGGCTTTATTATCTGGGGTTGTTCTTCAACAGCGCTTGTTCTTCACGTAGATCGGACTATCTTACAAGCGCAGCAGCTTGGCGGCCTGGTTGACAATGGTGTCTTCCTGGGGGAAGCTCATCTGCTCCAAGCCAACGGCGTAAGGAGTAGGGACCTCAGCACCAGTGACACGGACAGCGGGTGCAGTCAAGTAATCGAAGCCATACTCCATAGAGAGAGCAAGGATCTCAGAAGCGACACCGAACATGGGGAAACCGGACTCAACACACATGATACGGCCGGTCTTCTTAAGGGACTGAATGATAGTCTCCACGTCAAGAGGCTTGACAGAACGAAGGTTGATGACTTCGGCCTCCACACCGTACTTCTGCTTGAGTTGGGCAGCGGCGTTGAGCGACTGACCGACACAGCGGGAGAGAGAAACAATGGTGAGGTCCTTGCCGGGGCGTTCGATCTTGGCCTTGCCAATAGGAAGAACAAAGTCACTCTTCTGGGCGGCCTCACTCATGGGGAAGGCCTGACCGTACAGAAGCCTGTCGACCTCTGTCAGTACTGACAAAACTTGGTTGGTTGGTTGTTAATGGGTGACCTACTCGTTTTCGAGAACAACAACGGGGTTGGGGTCACGAATGGCAGCCTTCAGCAGACCCTTGGCATCTTCGGCGCTCCAGGGAGAAACAACCTTCAAACCAGGGATGCTACCGTACCATGCGGAATAATCCTGAGAGTGCTGAGCAGCGACACCGGCAGCAAATCCATTAGGCCCGCGAAAAGTGATGTTGCAAGGTTGAATTCCTCCGGACATATAGTGCGTCTTGGCGGCGGAGTTGATGATCTGATCAATGGATTGCATGGCAAAGTTGAAGGTCATGAACTCGCACTAGAAATAAAAAAGAGGTAAGTTGGTTAGATACGCGCGTCACACGGTTTGCTCGCCTTTAGCTGTCCATTGATGAAGACTCACGATGGGGTGCAGGCCGGCAAGAGCGGCGCCGACAGCGAGACCAGTGAAGCCAGCCTCCGTAATCGGGGTGTCGATAACTCTCTTCGGACCAAAGCGGTCCAGCAGACCCCTCGTCACCTTGTATCTGTAACATTTGAGCCAGGTCAGACAGGGAACCTTCGGGCAAGATTGATGAGAAAGGGATTCACGCACGCTCCGTTATACTGCGCGACTTCCTCGCCCATAACGAAAGTTTTCTCATTGCCCTCAAGCTCCTCCGCGAGCGCCTCGTTCAGAGCATCACGAACTGTGACCTCCTTGGTACCATTTTCGGTGGCGTAACCCCGGAAGCGCAGGACGGAAGGTGTGCAGGTAGTTTGCGAGAAAGCCGGGCGAAGAGGAGTTGAGGGGAGGCGCGAGGGAAGCAGACGAGCTGCTGGGCGGAAAAGTCGGGGAGCAGCCATGGCCGAACTGGAGAGTTGGGTTAGGGGATTGAGAAAAGTGATCGATGGTCTCTGAGAAGCGAGAGAAGGAGTACAAACTAGAAGAAACAATCGGACAGCACCTGGAAGAGCCTCGTAACTTGTCCAACACGGGAATCTGGACGTTCAATGAGAGATGTGGTTTTTGGTGAGAGCTTCGAGAAAGACTGTTGGGCCTGGGGCTGGCTGACTAAGTTAGTATTCTCACCGGCGCCTTCTTCCGTTCCGTGGAATTTCCGCGTGACTGCCGATAAGGGAACCATCGGCGATAACCTTGAAGCCTGGAGGCTTTCCCGGAGTATTGACTCTTCGGAGTTGTTAGTAGTATATTGGCAGAGTTGAGTACAGTACATACAATAGCTAATTACTACACCGACATCCGACGGAGTTCAACAGAGTATTCGTATCTCGCGCTCTCATCACTCACTCTCACACACACTCACACACACTACCTTCGTTATCCTCACTATCCTCACCTCATCCGGGTGAAATCATTATGACCCATACTTCCTTTGCAGCAGCTGTAGTGCTCTTGCTGTCGTCCTCTCCCTTTACCTCGATCGTCTCCGCAGGACAGCCCTCTGCTCCGGACCCTGTTGCTGCCCCATTGCGCGACTTGGAATGGGGCCAACTCAACTTTCTACATACTACAGACACCCACGGCTGGCTGGCTGGACACTTACAAGAGTATGAAATTCGAATGTCTTCTAAGAAGCTTTACCAGGTGGGTTCTTGCTGATTGAGTATCCGTGCGCTAGACCCTCTTATGCCGCGGACTGGGGGGACTACATCTCTTTTGCCGCCCGCATGCGCGACAAAGCCCATCAGGATGGCTCAGATCTGTTGGTGATCGATACGGGTGATCGGGTCGAGGGTAATGGTCTGTATGATTCTTCCGAGCCAAAGGGTATCTATCTCTCCGGGATCTTGCGAGAACAACACATAGACCTTCTGTCATCAGGCAACCATGAGCTGTACAATCGGACGACGTCCCAGGCAGAGTTCTTCACCACAATTCCCAACTTCCGTGGAAATTACCTAGCATCGAATATCGATATCCTACATCCAGCACTCAACGAATTCGTCCCTTTAGCGCCTCGCTTCAAGAAGTTCACCACGCAGAACCAAGGGATCCGCATCATCGCCTTCGGCTTTCTGTTTAATTTTAGAAAGAATGACAACAACACTATCGTTCGGTCTGTAGAGCAGACAATCAAAGAAAGCTGGTTTCAAGAAGCCATTCGAGACAAAGATGTGGACCTTTTCCTCGTTATTGGCCATGTCCCCGTACGCTCCGCTGAATATGATGCTGTGTACCGGGAGATCCGCGCTATCCGGTGGGATACACCTATACAGTTCTTCGGAGGGCATTACCACATCCGGGATTATGTGCGGTACGACTCCAAAGCCTACGGACTGGCGAGTGGTCGCTTCATGGAAACTATTGGCTTTATGTCAATCGACGGGCTGTCCACTAGCAAAGACCAAATAAGGCCCGCCCTGGCAGCGCCTAAGTTTAGTCGGAAGTACATCGATAACAATTTGTTCTCATTCTACCACCACACCGGCCTGGACGAGGGCACATTTCACACGGAACATGGCCGGAATGTGTCCTTACTTATACAACAATCCAGAAGCGCGCTTAAGTTGGACAAAATCCACGGTTGCGCTCCCAGGGATCTCTGGATGTCACGCGTCAAGTACCCTCACGAGAACAATATATATACATGGCTAGAGGAAGAAGTGCTCCCCGTCTCTTTGAAAGATGACTCACGTATTGGAAAGCCGGCGCTTGCTATTATCAATACGGGTGCTATTCGCTTTGATGTTTTCAGAGGTCCTTTCACTCAGGATACAACCTATATTGTCTCTCCTTTTTCCAGTGGTTTCCGTTACGTCAAAGATGTCCCTTACCACAAAGCGAAGTTCGTGGTCGAGGTACTCAACAAACAGCCTCAAATATTGACTGAGCAACGCCAGCATGTAGGTCTACCGACCTGGTCACTCGCACCGCCTGAGCAATCAGCACATGCAGACGATACAGCCGCTAACCGTGGCGAGAGTTTGCGCCCTGCATGGTACGCTCCAGGCTCGCTTATCGACCAGGCCTTACTTTCAATGAAGGACTCTTTCGGGCCTAATCTAATTCCGGGGTATACTACCACCGATGATGCTGGCACTGATGGTGATGATACTGTCCATTCTCCTCTCACATTCTATCGAGTTCCGAATTGCATTCAATCCCTGGTATCTCCAACTGCATCTGACCAGCCCGAAACGGTGGACTTGGTCTATATCGACTTCATTGAGCCCTATGTAGCTCTAGCGGCCAAGTTTGCAAGCCTTGATGTGGACTTTAAGCGAGACAGTGACGTCTACATGCCATCCACTAGTCTAACAAGCCTGATTCTGAACTGGGTCAAGACGAACTGGGGCTGCGAAGACGGTTCATTATGATCTGAACAGAAGTCGTGACCGAATACATAGATAGATACAGAATGTGATGCTTGGCAGCCTCCGTTTCTTTGCGTCTTGGATCCACGAAATCAACGGACAGCATGCGCCATTGAAGATCGATAGATATTATAGCTTCCTTATATTCTTATACTGAAAACGCACCTATACTGAAAATGAAGCGATCGATTGTTCAGATCACCTGTAGCTTGCTAATGGGGCTTGATCTTCTTAGGAGACCTTCATATGAACATGATGATGGAGATTGCGAGTTATGTCTTTCAGGGAAATGGATTGATAGTTTTAATATACATACATGTAAGCAAGATTGACTGGCTTTGCACGATCGACACGGTAGAATTTCAAGCCTGCGCTGTCACGATTGAATTCACAGTTCTATGCGGGATTCATTCCTCTGCCTCATACCGGAGCAAGCCCTTTCCACTTCGGAAGCCGCTGAGTGTTTCCTGCACGCCCCCTACAAGCTCCGCACACTCTGTGTCCCAGCGCCATTTAAGCTCCTCCACGGGAATATCCTTGAACTTTCCTGTCCGGGTCAACTGCAACACATCATTGATAGTATTTTCCTTGAGCTGTGGGTTCTTGTCACCCCATTTGCTGACCCAGAATCCATGAAAAGCAAGGTCCTTGAATATGAGCAGACCGGATGGTAGGGCAACCGGCTGCTTCGACATCGCTCCATATGTGACTAGATGCGAGCCCGGTGCAAGCGTTTTGGCTAGCGCAGTCGCGCTTTTCCCGCCAACGCAGTTCAGGGCCAACCGGATTGGCTCCCTCCCCTTGCGTGTAAGATCATGCACAAGATTCTTGAATTCGCCGGAGAGCAGCTCGGCTTCTGTCACGACGGCCGTCGCGCCCAGGTCGCGCAGTTCCTGCTTCAATTTTTCGGTCTCCTCGGGCGTCTTCCGTTCCCGCACAACATTGAGTGTTTTGATGCCCCATTCCCGCGCCAGTTGGATGGCAGCTCGTCCAACGCCGCTATTTGCTCCATTCTGAATCAGCCATTCTTCCCCAGCGCGCATCCAGTCCCAGTCACAGAAATCCTTGATCATCCGGTACGCGGTCACGGGATTCACACTGACGGTACTAATCTGAAGCGGAGTCAGGCCTTCCTTGTTTTCGATCTTAATCAATTGAGACTCGTCCATCTGAGCGTGAGTGCGCCAAGTCCCCTGTCCAGTCTGCTTCATAACCACCCAATCTCCCTTGCTGAGGTCGGTGACATTTGAGCCTGTAGCGATGACCTCAAACGCGCCTTCATTACCGGCTACAGCGCAAGGTGCTTGTGTACCAAGCGATGTCTGGAAGGGTGGCTTACTCGGATAGACGCCTTGAATCTGGTTCACATCAGCTGGATTTAGCGGGGCAGCAAGTAGACGAAGGTTGACTTGGGTTCCATGGGGCGCCGATATCGAATGCTTGTGAAGCCTTAAGCTAAGTCTCAGCCACGGTACTGCATTTGCGTGTTTCCAGGAGCCAGGAAAGGCTCTGGGCACGGGGCATATAACTCGGACTTACTGCAGAACATCCTTAGGTTCCCCGTAACGCGAATAAACAAGGGCCTTGGCCTGGGTGTACCCATAGACTGAGATCCACCTTTTGCCCTCCACTGAATGGCGGCATTTGAAATCTTGCCATTGATGCTGCGTCGGCGCAGTGAGCGGCGCAGAGACTCTGACTCTGGAATTCAGTCCTCCGACGCGGCCGCGGGAAGCACCGAATGCTGACCGCACCAAGCTATTGGAGAGCATATTGACAGGGTCGGGTAATATTCTCCGACGTACCGAGTCAATCCTCACGTTGGAATATATTGCGGGGTGATTCTGAACTACTTCGCCGGCCTTCTGAGAGAGAGGGAAAAGCCAGGGGAATGGAGAGCGAAAGAAAGAGATAGCATGTGCATGACGTCGTTTCCTCTTCGGGCCGACGGGAGAGACGGCGTTGCGGGTATGACTTTTCCAGCTACAGTGAAAGTACGTACTCTGTATTGTACAGTACAATGTTATGAGTGTAATTAACTGACCCACAGTACAGTACAAAGTAAGTACTGTATGTACAGTACTCGCAAGCTTTATTGTAGCTTTGAGTCATCTAAAGCGATCAATCCGTCTACTTCTTATTCACTTCTGTATTCTGAGCTAAAGCAATGGAAAAACACATACACAATAAGTACGGAGAGACACCTCTCGCTCTTCTAGCACCAGAGAAATGTGACGACTGTATGTAAGGTATTTACCGATACAGAATTGGCATTGATGCTCACCGCCCGGCACATGCAAAGGGTGTACGGAGAGTTTCACTCCCGGAATTATTGCCTTCTCTATGTTGGTCTCCGCCTCTACTCCGCAATTCTCTTTTTTCGCTACGCAGAACTCACTGTATCATACTAAATGTCCTCTCTCTTGCGCGAGGCAGAGAGATGCATCGCCAACCAGAATTCATACACCGCTTTAAATGCCTTAATCAGTACACTACACTCCTCTGGCCAATGGCTAGATCGAATCAAAGAGGCAGATATGCGGCGCGCACAGGGTAATCTCCGATATTTGACAACTCCACGCTATTGTCTTGATCTTCTTCTATTGCTCACACTTAAGTAGGTCGACCTGAGTCACGGCTAGATGGACGGCTAGTGGTTATCAAGGATAACATATGCACACGCGAACTTCCAACCACATGTGCTTCGAGAGCTCTAGATAAGTTTACCAGTCCTTTCAATGCGACTGTCGTCCAACAATTGGAGGATGCTGGGGCCGTTGTGTCCGGGAAGGCGAACCTTGATGAATTCGGGATGGGCTCGCACTCGGTGAATTCCCATTTCGGTCCCGTCAAAAATATGTACCGCAGCCGCAATGCAGAAGATCTATCGGCCGGCGGAAGCTCGGGGGGAAGTGCGGTGGCTGTTGCTACAGAACAATGTTACACGTACGTGTGGTCTTTATCGAAGCACCTATCGGGCCATGGAAGATAACATTTAATAATAAACACACATGCAGAGCACTGGGAACTGATACGGGGGGGTCTGTTCGGCTCCCTGCCGCCTACACGGGAATAGTGGGTTTCAAGCCTTCGTACGGACTGATTTCCCGTTGGGGGGTAGTTGCTTATGCAAACTCATTGGATACAGTGGGTATATTCGGGAGAGAGGTGTCTAGTGTACGTGATGTGTTTGGTATGCATTTCCAATATTCCCAATATGTCAGCTCAAAGAAGTTGCTAACTTCCGCAGACATTTTGAATCAGCACGACCCGCGCGACCCAACTAATCTATCCCCTGATACTCGATCGCGGATCGGTGACCAATTCACCTCACCTCGCCTTGCGTCTCGGATGACGACGAATTCCCTCAAGATCGGCGTTCCGTTGGAATACAACATCTCTGAGCTGGCACCTTCGGTACGACGTGCCTGGTCTCGCGCACTGAAACATATGCTACAGCAGGGACATTCTATCCACCCTGTGTCTCTTCCAACGACCCAGCTTGCCTTGTCAGCCTATTATGTTCTTGCGCCCGCTGAAGCATCCTCCAACCTAGCTAAATACGACGGCGTTCGTTATGGAAACAGCTTCGATGATGACCACTACGACCCTCAGATGAACAGCTATCTATATGCACGAACGCGAGGCGAGGGATTAGGGTCCGAAGTCAAGAGAAGAATCTTACTTGGGGCTTTTAGTCTAAGCGCCGGCGCTATAGACAACTATTTCATACAAGCGCAGCGCATTCGTCGTCTCGTACAGCGAGATTTCAATGCGACTTTCCTGGCGATTCATCCACTAATGCCTCGTCGACTTAATGGGGATGATGTGGATCATAAGAGCAGTCAAGCCCAAGTTGATATTATGATATGCCCGACGGCACCGTCTTCGCCGCCAGCTCTGTCGAACCTTGTTGGCGAAGGCGCCAATCGTTCCCCCTTGGATGCTTATATGAATGATGTCTTCACAGTACCTGCCAGCTTGGCAGGTCTTCCAGCTGCCTCGGTCCCGGTCACAGACGAAAGCACTGACAGCTTGGCCGGCGTCCAAATAATAGGCCAGTACGGTGACGACGCCCTAGTTTTGAAAGTGGCCGAAATGCTCTCCAGCAAGCGCCTTTAGGAATAGAAAATCTTGTAATAGACTTAAGATTCGATGGAAAAAACTTATATACTATCTTAATTCGATAACCAACTTAAGATAGAGAACCACCACCCCTGCTTTGTGAGCACCGACGCAGCCTGGGGTAGGGGCTGTTGACTACTAGGCATACGCGTGTATATCCTTAGCCATTGCCGCAAGAGATTCTACATAGAACAATTGAATCCGGTGGTCAAATCCATGTCTTTGAATGCAGATATGATACAAAAGGGTATCATGCGGATGCAAACCGAATCTCGTCTTTCACGACATTTCCATGTCTTCATCGCCCGCCACGGTATCTAGTGCCGCAGACAGTTGCGTCTCCGGATCAAGGGTACCCGCAGTATCAAGACTCATCACATTTTCAGACGTGGTGTGACCTGGGTTAGGGTCCCCTAAAGCGGCGGGCTCGTGGCTAGTGACGTTAGCTAGAGTTGCATCATGAACTCTAGAGTCGGGTGGTCTAGTAGATTCGTAGGCAACTTCCACCCCCCCTCTCATCACCTCCGAGCCTCCGACAACTGCTCCAGGACCAGACCCATCAATTTCAGCATTGCCAACAACATTGCCATCCACACCACCCCACACGCACATGGCTTCCACTTCATCGACGATATCGGCCATGACATCTTCAACTATCTGCTCGTTAAATCGCTCTCCTATCCCGTACACTGGCTCGCTGTTCTCGGTATGGGCTGGCGGACCAAACCACCATGGGCCATCGAAGCGGCATTCAACAGCACCTCCACCATAACAACTGACAGCAGGGTAATAACCAACCATCCCATCATCAGCGTTCTCACGCTCACCAACTCCCAGATTATTGGTGCCATTGGCCAATCTGCTCGCGGGCGGAAGAAAGGCATAGAGTTCTTTGAAGGGAGTACCCATCTTCACTCCATTTTTGAAAACTGTAATACTGGAGCCAGGAAGAGTACGTAAAGATGCATCTTCGCCATTGAGCGGGGAAGGCGGGCCAAATGTCGGCGTCTCTTTAATGTTGAATGCATAGTCCCGTAGTTGTTTCGTGGGGAAAACGTTCGATTGTTGCCAGCAAAAGTCAGATTTGTAATGGAACGGAATGCGGTCCCGGATGATGTTGGTGACGGATGATGGGTCTAGAATCGCGATTGAAGTATCACCATCGGCATTGGGCTCATATGTGCCTTCAACAATTTTCTTATGGAGGGCCAGAGGGGGCAGTGTGATTAGAAGCCCGATGACATCCCCTTCTCGAATGGACTCGCCCTTTGGAAAGAAGTATTCGCAACGCATTCGATTGACTACCTCACCATTCACATCACGTATACCATAGCCATAACAGTCAATTCCGACATTGACATCAAGATCAGCTTCCCTCCGTGCGAATCCGAGACGCACATGGCCTCGTGCAGGCATTCCAGTGTTTCCAACTGAAGCCGACTTTGAATCATTCATAACACCACTTACTATGCGCGCCTCATAATAGTAAGATCCTTCTCGCGCGCACACGTTGGCTCGTGCAGTATGCCAAGGCCCGTTGGTCGTTACAGCACGAGCATCCTCAGTGAAGAGAATTGCAGCGGGTGAGTCTTCAAAGCTAAACCGAGCATGGTAGGGTGAGACATCAGTTTGTCGATATTTGATGTGTGGAAAGCCCGGATCAGCGATTGCGTAGCTATACCGGAAACCATTTTTATTCGTAAGCTTGTCGACAACCTCATAAAAGTCCCAGCTCTGACCAGTAACTTCCGACTTCTTTGTGCTCACGAAATTCATCTGACGAGGTTGCGGGGGTAGTAAATCCGAAGCTCGCGGCTCAGCGAGCAACAAAGGTCGTAAAATACTTAATTCCGAACTCGGAAGCGCGGTGCTTTGAACAGTAATAGTCCTCTTCTTGGTGGGCTGTGATTCTTGATCCAGAGCTCTAGCCTCGCGCTTCTTGCGGCTATCCCGTTTTGTGCGCTTCGACTTTGTACTATCCGCTTGTGCTGATGCATTACTAGGCGGCACAGGAGAAGATCTGACATTTGTGTCTGCTAAGGACCCACCGAGCGGTGCGCCCCCAGAAGGCACTGTTGAAGATTCCATATTGGAGGGAGGCGCGGAAGATCCTGTCTGTTGCGTAGAAGCCATGACGGCGACGGCCTTGTAATATAAGAACAGCTGGAGTTTGATGTCGTCACGATACAATAATTTGGATTGGAGTACTCCTATACCTCCTAGACCTTTAACAGAGGTCGCCTTGAATTCACTAGAAAACGTATTGAGAAAGTGACAGGTAGAAGGACTCAAGCTCCTAATCAACTAGAAGACCTGTCTGTGTGCGCTGGGAACTGCAAGCGCCTTAGGTGACTATGAATAGTTAGAAGCATGAACGGGATATGGCAAGAAGAGCAAGGCCCCAGGTGTGTTTGGCCGATAGTCAGCAGATGACCTACAGACCCATCATCTGCAAATACAAAGGACTATGATAAAACAAGAAGCTAGCACTAATGTTTTATAAAACCCACGATCAACTTACCTGAAAGTGAGCCGGTATGTATTTGAGGTCCCAAACAGATTTAACCTGTGCTGTACGATGACCAGCCATAGCAATATTTAATGAGCACCATATTCGAAGTTATTGGGTCTCCGAGAACCAACTTGCAAGGGCGGAAGGCATTTGAGCGAGATAGCCATGGGCGGTGAGTATGTCTATTGCCGGCATTTTCTAGTCCGAATGAGGTTTGTAAGCAACCAATCCCCATAATGGAGGGGTAGGGGCGGTAGGCTTCAAAGAGCCACTCATGATACAAGTTCAGAGGCGGTCGAGGCATGAGCATGGCAGAAAAAAAAATAGAACCGCATAATCTTGCAATTCACACACACATTCGTCAAAGGATGATATAGAGGCGAATCGCTTTCGTTTCATGCGTCTTTCCCCGGCGGATTGAAAGACTTGGACCTTTAATAAATCGTTTTCTCTCTGGACTCAAACAAATCCTGAACATACCGGTTTACGCCAAGGGCGATCGAAAGTGACTCAACATGCCTAAAGCAGCAGCATCTCGCTCCGTCGCTGCCCGCCGGCACAATCCTCTCGCCGAGGATATGTTAACGCCAGCTGGTCACTTAAGAACCCAAGCAAGCAAAAAGGCTAATCGCAAATCCCGTCAAGATGAGGAGCAAGAAGATGGCGAAAGATTCATTGATGCGAAAATGTCTCGCAAGATCCTGCGCATCGGGCAGGAATTGGCAGAGGAGGATGCCGCGGAGCAAAAACTTTCGATGGGCCCAACAACAGACAAGACGAATACCGCCTTCGACTTTGAGTCTCGGCTAGAAGACGAGGAATTTTTGTCGGATGACGAGAGGTTTCAAGATGAGCAATGGGACGATGTCGAGGAAGTCGAAGAAGTGGTATGCTACCCCGATTCTTTCTATTTTCCTTGGGGTTTTGAAGGCAGTGCATATATTGACTAAACCCTCAGGAAGTTGATCCTAACGATCTTGACATGTTTCACAAGTTCGTCCCTGGGGGGGATGAAGATCCGATTTTCAACCCTCGTGAACCGGGGGCCGAGGGCCAGACTACAAATCTGGCTGATTTGATCCTTGAAAAGATCGCAGAACATGAAGCCAGACAGGCTGGCGAAGGTGGGCCTTACATCCAAGGCGGGGGGCTGGCAGAAGATGCTGTTCAGATCCCCGCGAAGGCGGTTGAGGTTTATGAGAAGTGAGATTCCTATGCTCAAGTTGCTCTAAAGTGTACTTTCTGATTGCTAATGAGAAACCCAGAGTCGGTATGATTCTCTCTCGCTACAAGTCAGGACCCCTTCCGAAACCTTTCAAGATTCTCCCCTCTGTTCCCAACTGGCCAACCCTTCTCTCGATCACACGCCCAGAATCCTGGTCTGCCAACGCTGTTTATGCCGGTACAAGAATCTTCATCTCCTCTAAGCCTGCAGTTGCACAGGAGTTTATCTCGACGGTACTGCTCGATCGTGTCCGTGAGGAAATACATGAGACCAAGAAGCTCAATGTCCATACCTACAATGCAATGAAGAAAGCACTCTACAAGCCCGCTTGCTTCTTCAAGGGACTACTATTTCCCCTGGTTTCCAGCGGAACGTGTACTCTCCGCGAGGCCCATATTGTCTCCTCCGTCATTGCTCGAGTCTCAATTCCTGTCCTGCATTCGGCTGCGGCTTTGCTTCGTATGTGCGACCTTGCTGCGGAACAATCCCTGCGATCTTTGGAGAGTACCGGTGCGGTCAATGTCTTCATCCGCATATTTTTGGAGAAGAAGTACGCCCTTCCATACAAAGTCATTGATGCGCTTGTCTTTCACTTCCTGCGTTTCCGCACAAACGACAGTGCAGACGAGTCAATGATGACAGATGGGCCGTCCCGTGACGCTAAGGCTTACAAGCTTCCTGTCCTGTGGCACCAGTCATTGCTTGTGTTCGCCCAGCGCTACCGCAACGATATCACCGAGGACCAACGAGAGGCACTCCTTGATTTGCTCTTGGTTCAAGGCCACAAAGACATCGGGCCCGAGGTTAGGCGCGAATTGCTCGCTGGTAGAGGAAGAGGGGTTGTTCTACCTGATTCTGAACGGCAAGGTGCAGTCGATGCCGGTGATGATACGATGGATGTCACATTATAGTCTTATCGCCACGAAGTCATGTGTCGGAAATGGCTCATCCCCTTGCATTTAGCTGTGATATGATCAGGGCCGTGACTGGCATTGGCGTTATTTGGAACATTCTAATTTGCGCATACTCTTGTTCTTCTTTTTCTTTTTTTGCTCTCGGCTCTTAGAGACATGAACCTTTCCGATATTTATGAATCATATTCAGTTGTTTTGATCAGGGTGACAGAACTAGACGTAAATGAATTAATCACATAGATTCAATGTGAAACAAGTAAATGTTGCAAACTAATTACACGAACAGATCATATACAATGATCAGAAATTAGCTCTGCTATCCTTTCTGAGTACCCAGCCTGCTATTCTTCTACACTATCTACCAAGTGATACGCGTCGTAGCTACCACCATAAAAGTGCAGTGACACGGCATTCCAAGTTCGGGATGACGTTGCCACGCTAAGTCCCCGCCGCGCCGCTATCGTTACCCCTTCTGAGAAAGTAGCCTAGTCTGACCTCCTAGGGCGTCGGTCATCTTTCTCATCGTTTCCCCTCAATACTTCGAAGTGTCAATTATTGGTATTAGCTTACTCATTGCCCAACATGGTTCGAAAGGACCCGATCTTTGAGGCTCGTACCAATGTCAAGGTGTGTGTGTGTTCTCTGCCCCCGCAGCAGTGATAGCATCAATATCTCGCTGCGACCAGCCGCATTTTATGCTGAAGTTTCCACCTTGACTCACGCAATGTTTTGCTCCCGATTTGTAGCTACACTCCAATCGCTTGAAGAAGGAATCTGCCCGTGCCGAAGCGACATTCAAATCTGAGAAGGCCAAGGCCGACAAGGCAATGAAAAATAGAGAGTTTCAAATCGCTCGCATTCATGCCGCATCTGCTGTACGTGAGAAGAGAAGGCAAGTGACTCTCCGAGCCGAGGCTGCTCGCGCAGATGTCATCATCAACGAACTTAAGGCAGCACAAAGTACGCGAGATACCTCCCGGACTCTTGCCTTGGCTTCAAGGGGGCTGGATGCGGCTTCGAAAAGTGTCAACTTAGAGAATCTGGTCTCGCACGCAAACAATTTCCTGGCGCGCTCCGAGGATTTCAAAATAGCAAGCAGTGCCATAGAGGATGTCGCCCAGGGAGTTTCGATGCAAGAATACGGTGCGGAGGGTGAGGCTGAGGTTGATCGCTTGATGGAACAACTTGCGGACGATGCCGGCGTAGATCTGCGCATAGCATTAGAGCAAGATGCTGCTCCTCGTGAGGAAGTCAGGGATCAGAAACAAGTTGACTCGGAGCTGGAGGATGGTCTGGGTGCTAGACTGAGAGCTCTACGGGCAGCAAATTAGATGCGATTTTGTACGGTCTCTACTCCGTTCGTTTCTGTCTTCTTTTTGTGTCTTTTACTTTGAGCAACTTGTGCTGGCGCGAATACGGTGATGGCAAGTGGCATTTTCATTATTACCTACCAGGCTTGTTGTTCGGGTTGCTACTTTGGGTGTTAGCCGGCTGCTTTTATTTCATCTTCTAAAGGCGATATCCTATGGAGCTTTGACGACATAGCATGTGGCACGGTAGTCTATAATATATCGGTCAACAACTGGGTCATACAATCTATCTCATGGCCGAGCCGTGTTCGCTTGCTGATTCATTTCAATTTTCCTCGGTGGTATTGAGCAGATTTGGTGCTTGGGACCTGGGTCGCCTACTCGTCTTGCGCTGGTCTTCGAGATTCTCGTACTATATATACTCACCGGTGGCCAATCTCCTTTACTGGTGAGGATCTTGATACTCTGCAAACATGGACCCGATAGGTACAAGGATGGATTTGCATACCCTCTGACGGTATACACTTGCATTTCAGGATATCTTCGGGCTTTTTGTCGAATGTAGACTCGCTTCATTGTATATTTAAGCGGTCCAACATGAACTGACAAGGTCCAAGTGACTTCTGCTGTTTACCTAAACTGACGAACCAACTACTTAACATGACCTGTCTGCAAGATGCTGTGGCTATTGCGGCGGCTTGAAAGTTTAGATTAGGTATATATTGTAAAATAAGACGCTAACAGCCAAAAAGCAGCCGGGCTAGCTCAATCGGCAGAGCGTGAGACTCTTAATCTCAAGGTTGCGGGTTCAACCCCCGCGTTCGGCTTCTACCATATTCCACAACTTTTTGCGATTCCGTGGTTGAACATTTCGATATAACCATAATCATTTTTTGTACAGTACATATCCTCTTCCCAACCCTTGCTTCTTCTACTACTCGCACCCCGACGCTTGAGGTGAAGACCGGCATTACCCTGGGCAGTGTGCAAGTATAACCTCGCTGTTACTATTCCTGCCTGTTGGCACTTTTCGTATCTTGGAGGTATTCTGCGTTCCGTCATGAGTGTCCATTGATGACACTCGCAGATCACACATATATTCCCGCTTTCCAACAAATATCCCCCGCGATATCGCAATGGATAATCGAACACTCCCGCCTGATACACGTTCGATGTCACATGCTCGACAGGCTGCCTGCTTGAACTGTAGGAAAAGCAAAGTTCGATGCAATCGCACCAATGACGAAACGTCCTGTGATCGATGCAGGCAAGCCGATGCAACATGTGTCATTCCTAGTCACCATGTCGGTCGACAGAAGGGCGTCAAAAAGTGCGCATTGAATACATTTACCCGACTTGCAATGACAACTCGTACTGACACACTGATGTCAGTAAGCGTAAAGGATTGGAAAAGGCATTGCATCAGATTGAGCAGGCCATCAAGCGGCCCCGAGCTGAGGATGTCCAAAACTTGATCTCGAACCTCCGGGGGCTGCTCGACAACATACAAGAGCAAAATCCGCATAGCGAGACGGATTGCTTATCAGAGGAACCCGCTGGATCGCCCAGTATATCAGCCGCCGAGTACGACAATCCGGGAGATAGCTTGTCACTGGATGATGCAGAGAACCCCTTGCAACTGCTTGCACGCGCTTCCGACCTACAGCTGTCACCAAATGACATGCGTGGTGTACCGGAATTGAAATCCTCGACGATATTGCATCCATCGGGAATCTACAACGTTGACGACGGCGACACTATGGCCTCAGCCACATCTTTCTTTATTCCCATTAGCGCAAGCTTGGACACTGGTCCCACGGTGGACCCCATTGAGCTGGGGCTCGTTACGCTCGATGAAGCAGAGTCGCTTTTCTTGTAGTATGTCTGTCCAAAGAAAAGTCCAATTCCTCTTCAACCACCGAAATCACTAATCTCACTAATCCCGTCCAGTTTCTACCGCAATCTCGCCCACACTCGATGGGGCCTCGACCCTCTGATCCATAGTGTGCCATTTGTCCGTTCGCAGTCCGCGTTTCTGTTCACCTCGATAATAGCTGCGGCGGCATTGTTCTTGCCCTCAGCCGCAGCAATATCGAAAAGATTATCTAGACATCGTGCAACCCTAGCTCATAATGTCATCACCCAGCGGCATCGATCAGTCGAGATAGTTCTTGCTTTCATGGTAAATGTCCCGTGGATGGGCCCTGGGAACCGCTTAGGTGATGACGATACCTGCATTCATATCGCGATGGCCCTGACTGTTGCATTGGATCTATCTCTAAACAAGATCGTACTTCCCTCGACAAGCTTCGACAGCAGTCTTCTAAAGCGACTTGCCAAAGCTGACTGTATCGATGCAAAGAGAGCACTGCAGATGGACGGCTTCGGTGATGTGGCTTCAGACTCTGTGTGGGGTCGTAGGCTTCTGCGACGACGCGAGAGGGCGTGGATTGCGCTTTTCGTACTCGAACGAGGGTAAGCTCTCTTATCTTGAAACAATACAGAGGAAATTATTTGCCCTGCAGTATTCTAAGGATGCCTACAGTGTATGCCTTGCTCGCGGGAGAAATTATACGGTGCCCTCAACAGCCCTTATTGAGAACTGTGATAAATGGCACCTTTCTGATATTGCCGACTCTCGCGATGGTCCAATGAATTCCATGGCTGTCCTCCGAAGAAATCTGGTGAGTTGAATTTCCCTGCCTGGGCTGAATTCGCGTAAGGCTCAGATGGAACTCTTCTAACAGAAACAACATGATACCTCGCATACTAGGACGGGCTTTTGAAAAGAATAAGAGCCGAGTGTGATAACTCCACGAATAGTGGCTCGGGAGCTGCTCAACTGTGCGTGCGATTGATGAGTTTCGGAATTCGAAGCTGATTTCGATAATCAGGATAAAACATCTCATTGAGAGTTTCTACGGGCAATGGTATAAGGCCTGGACACCGGCTATTGGCGAAGGTCAAGGTAGGCAGCTGTCGCCACCTTTTCCCCAACAGGTGCTAAAAGTATATTAAGCATCATCTCTTCCACCGTATGTTGAGATCTTGGTTATACACACGCAATTATCGACATATGGGGGTGTGATCAACCATCCCACAGCGCCACTCGAAGTGAAGAGGTTTTTCCGTGCAGCGGGCCTCTCGTCTGCGTTGAACGTCCTGAGGGCAGCTATTCAGGGCGAGTCTCGGTTGAAGTCAATGCCGAACAATACTGTTATCATGATTTCGTTCGCGGCATGCTCGGCATTGAGTTTAAGTGCCATGCCGGCAAATAGCAGATCTAGCCTGGCCCCTAGCGTGCGAAATTTGGTTGAAGAAACTGCGACGGTGCTGGAAAGGATAGGGGCTGCCCCCGCCCACAGGAACGGAACCTCGGTACTGTATGGAAGGTTCCTGCGAGAGCTTATTCGGCGCTCTCCTCCGAGCCTGCAGCCCGAAAAAACCTCCGAACTACTGCCGCTAACACAGGCCGAAAGGTCTCAGCCGCCAACCACAGGAGGCTCATATGAGCCTGTCATCAGAACGCAAGAATTATCCTCATTGCCCTCAATGTTCTGGTCCGAACCAATCCAATTCTCCGCCATGTCTGATGATCAAATCATTGATGCCGTCAACCAAGTGGACACAGCCTTCGGGACGTTTGTTCCTGGTATTCCTATGGATGACTTGACCCATTGGGACTGGCTTGACTTTGGAAGCAATAATGCGACCGATATTAGCAGTGTATAATTCATTGACTGCTCCACAATTCCGTTCATCATCGCTCTATTCAGTCAAACAGTGGTACTCACAATTTGTAACTTACTGTAGCTCTCCTATCTATCGATTACATCATTGGGCATGATCCACCCGTCGGCGTTCAGAAGTAGCCCCGAAGGCCGAACTGGAAGGGTGCCGACCTTCTAAGTTGTTTTAAGAACCAATGTCTTCCTGCCCCTCTCGTCGCGCCAACTCGAGAATCAAACCAATGCTTATGGCAAATCGAGCAACAAGCAGAACATTTTGACTATGGCTACACTCAGAATCTCGACGTTCGCTTTGTCGCGGAGGACAACAGTGGCCGCTCGGCCGCAAATCCCCCTGCGAATGCGTCAAGCGAATCCTCGGCCCTTTCTAGGTAGTAAGAACCTGGCTTCTGCTCGCTTTTCGACAGCCAGGGACGAGACCTACTCACGGGCCCCACGGATCGACCGTGGGGCCTCAAAACTGATCGGAAGTGCCGATGAGGCAGTGGCCGACCTGAAGAGCGGATCAACCATTCTCAGCTCAGGATTCGGCCTTTGTGGTGTTGCAGGTAATAGCTATAGTACTAAAATCCTGGCAAAACCGAATGACTGACGTTGCGACTAGAAACTCTGATAGCGGCGATTCATCGCCGAGGTGCGGACAATTTACATTCACTAACTGCAGTCTCCAACAATGCGGGTGCTGCTGGGAAAGGCGGGCTCTCAACGCTAACGCAGGCTGGACAAGTGAATCGGCTTGTCCTCTCCTACCTTGGTAATAACAAGGCATTGGAAAAGAAGTATCTTTCGGGTGACATCTCGATCGAGCTCACACCGCAAGGAACACTGGCTGAGCGGCTACGCGCTGGTGGAGCTGGTATTCCAGCCTTCTTCACCCCCACAGGTGCACGTATGTCTCTCCACGTCAATATTTCTCTAATAGTACGCCGGGTACGAAAAATGGCTACTATGTGAACTTCACCGACTTATATCGTGTAGATACCTTGCTACAAGATGGAGCAATTCCCGTTCGGCTGGATGCGCACGGAAGAGTGCTCGAGCATGGCAGACCACGTGAAACCAGGATATTCAATGGCAAGACCTATCTAATGGAGACTGCACTTACCGGAGATGTGGCAATCCTCAGAGCATGGAAGGCCGATGAGGTAGGAAATTGTGTGTTTCGGTAAGGATCATGCACCACGATTGCCGCCGATCCCCCCAAGATGCACTTGTTATCCTGAACCTAGAACAATTTTAGGTATACTACCAAGGCCTTTGGTCCGATCATGGCAAAGGCAGCTGCCCTCACGATAGTCGAAGCAGAGAACATCGTACCCGTGGGCTCGATTGACCCCAATGACGTCGATCTTCCGGGGATTTTCGTTGATCGGATTGTCCCCGCTACTGAAGAAAAGCACATAGAAATCAAGAAACTGAGATCAAGCGATGATGAAGGCGCCGTTGCAGCTGTTAAGGATGCAGCAATGACTCAAAGAAATCGCATCGCCAGGAGAGCTGCCAAGGAGCTCAAGCAGGGTTACTATGTGAATCTGGGAGTTGGTAGGTGGTATGACACAATATGTCTCACTACAAGTATACTCATGAAATTGAAGGAATCCCGACCCTTGCTCCCTCATTTCTGCCGCGTGATGTGAAAGTCTGGGTACAGTCCGAAAACGGTATTCTCGGCATGGTAAGAGATCTTCCTCAACTACACCTTCAGATCTAAGATGACTAACTGCTTCCACAGGGCCCCTATCCCACAGAGGAAGAAGTGGATCCGTAAGTGGTTAACTCCCGATACCTACAAGCCGCTCACGTTCGGATTTCTCACCCGGCTCTTCCTAGGGACATTATCAATGCCGGAAAAGAGACAGTTACCCTAGTTCCGGGAGCTGCCACCTTTGATAGTACCGAGTCGTTCGGCATGATCCGTGGGGGCCATGTGGATGTCTCTATTCTAGGAGTATGTGTTGACTACTCTCGCCCATCGTTGGCAGAATACTTCGGACTGACGCTCTCATTTCAAGGCTCTACAAGTCGGTGCCAACGGCGATCTGGCAAATTACATGATCCCCGGTAAAGTTTTCAAGGGGATGGGAGGGGCCATGGATTTGATTTCCAACCCCGATCAAACCAAAATTGTGGTAGCTACCAATCATACAGCAAAGGACGGATCGCCCAAGATCGTATCTCAATGCAGTCTCCCTCTGACGGGAGCAAACTGCGTTAGTACGATTATCACAGACCTGGTAAGCTCGCAAATCTACGGCTCCTGGGACTCTAGATAGCTAATGGGCGTGGTTAGTGTGTGTTTCAAGTGGATCGGACGAAAGGGGAGCTCCTGCTGACGGAACTTGCTCCGGGAGTGGAAGTTGAGGAAGTGAAAAGTAAGACCGGAGCGAGCTTTGCGGTCGCAGATCATCTGGAGATCATGGAGTAATGGGTCATCGGTTGGGCGTCTGATTCTTAGATCATTGTACTGTACGTTCAAGTTTCAGTTGTATATACATAAGTTTCGGTGTGAAAAAGAAAAAGCGTCGCACGGTAACTAGAATTGCATGCCGAGGCGGATCCTGATCGCACTTGCAGCAACCAAATCCGGGGAAGACACAATCGCAAAAAGTGCGGGGAAAGAGGACTAGGGGCGGGGGTGGATGCGTTCCTTCCTTTAGGCACTAAGTACAGTACTAGCTAGGTACCTGGTAGTACTAGGTAGTACCTACCCTACCTGGCATTTAACTTGGTAGGTCCTTTCTTAATCTGGGGATGCCTGCTTGCTTAAGAGAGTAACTCTTACTACTACTACTACTACTACTCCTACTACTACTACTACTACTACTACTACTACTACTACCACCACCACCACCACCAGTAACTCCCTTTGCGTCCCCCTTCTACATCCAGCAGTCTGATTGTTTCTGATTGCTTCCTCTTCCCTGACTGATCTCAATCCACGCTCGCTACTCCTCTGACTGGAAATGCTGCTAAACTATCCCTTCATGCACCATAATCCATGAACCCAACACCCGAAAGTAGTATGCAGAGCATGGATCCTCTCCATTTGCAAAGCAAGAACCACGAATCCGCCAAGCAGGAACTTTGCGTGGAACCAGGCCATGACGACGCCGACGAAGAACATCAGCGATGGGTACGGAATCTCTTGTTCAAGATGGACTGCAGGTAGAGCCAAAATTCATCATCAACGTTTTCCACGACCACCAATGCGTTTTCTTTTAGGCTCCTGCCAGCTCTATCTGGTCTCTTCCTCTGTTCCTTTCTCGATCGAACCAATGTAGGCAACGCCAAGATCCTGGGCCTGGAGGACGATATCAACATCACCGGTCATCAGTATGATATTGGTCTAACGGTATTCTACATCATGTACATCTGCAGGTGAGACAAGCCAGATGCACCATTAGTTTTGTTCTTCTCCCCTTGGTGGCTACCCTTGATTTCACCTTGTGAGCCCCTTCTCATTTCTGGTACTAATTCGTTTACGTTCTGCGAAACGTCGATCAGCGAGCTCCCCAGTAATCTGGTCATCAGAAAGGCCTCGCCCAAGGTTTGGCTGCCTTTTCTGACGATGATCTGGGGCATATTCACAATGTGCTTGGGTTTCGTGCGCAACTTTGCTGGCTTCGTCGTTGTCCGAGCCCTCTTGGGAATTGCCGAAGGCGGACTTCTTCCCGGAATCGTGGGTTCTGATCAGGCTTGTCTTTCTCTGGAGCTGACTGACTGATTCCGGCTCGAGGTCTTGTACCTGTCATTCTTCTACCGACGAAATGATTTGGCTTTGCGCATCGGAGTTTTCTATACAGCCGCATCCCTGTCAGGGGCTTTTGGAGGTGAGTAAACAAACTGTGGGACGAAATTGGTTGAGAGACAATTGATTCTTACTTGGAGTTATGCAGAAACTGTAACTAACAAGATGAAGGCCTTTTAGCGCGTGGACTAGCCCAGATTGGCCCTCGAGGGGGGCTTGAAGGATGGCGCTGGATCATGATCATCGAGGGTTTACTGGTGAGTCTTACTGTACCACGCACGGAAGTGAGTTGGTGTTTCGTCTAATATGGAGCAAAGACATTTTCTGTCGGCGGGCTGAGCTATTTTCTGCTGCCAAACAGTCTGGAGACGGCATTCTTCTTGACTCCAGAGGAACGAGCATTTGCTCTCGAAAGAGTCATGCTTGACACCCCCTCAGCTGAGTACGCGTAAGTCAGAGCTGCTCTTTTCCATTCTACAGGCCACAATACCTACTCACCGACGAACTGACTCTTGAAATCAGGACGGCGGAGGATGAGCGGGAAACTCTCAAGTGGACTGAGGTGCGACGAGGGCTTCTAGATCCGCGAATGTGGTTGTCTGCCACAGCCTACTTCTCAATCTTGTCAGGGCTATACTCATTCGGATTATTTGTAAGCGACCTAACGTTCTCGGCTCTCCTCTACCAGGGCTAATGCAGCATGCTACAACGTCTAGCTTCCAACCATCATTGAAGAAAGTGGTTTTGCCCGGGATCCGAACCAAGTTCAATTCTGGACCGTGATACCATATGCTGTTGCTACTGTCGTGACTGGTGAGTCTCTAAGTAATCCATCTTTCGGCATCTACCACAAAGCTAAACCGTGATTAGTGGTTGTGGCTGTGGTATCGGACCGGTTGCAGCTACGCGGAGTCGTGATGCTTTTCACATTACCGATTGCCATAGCTGGGTACGGAGCGATTGCTAATATTCTCTCGCCATCAGCCAAGTATGCAATGACCTGTCTTATGGCTACTGGGTTGTATAGCAGTGTACCATGCATCTTGGTCTGGAATTCAAACAACTCTGCAGGACATTATAAGCGTGCCACCACATCCGCCATGCAGCTAACCATTGCCAACTGTGGAGGGCTTCTTGCTAGTAGGTTTCTCTCCTTGTGTAGCCACAGCAGTAACTGGAACCGCGCTTATAATAAGGCAGCTTTCAATTACCCCGACCAAGACAAATCCCAGTATCATCAAGGACACACAGTAATTATGGGATTGTTGGTGTTTGCATGGTTCATGTGAGTTGAGCGACTAGATGGTGGATGCCCCAAAGGGATGCTTGCACGGAGCTGATATGGAGCCGCAGGATCTTTTTCAATGTTTTATACTGTGCCAAGATCAACCGGGATAAGGCACAAGGCAAGTATGCACAGTACGCCGGATGTCACGATGACCGAGATCCTGCATTCAAAATGATGCTATAGCCCGTTCGGCCGACTGGCGACCGAGAAATCGCAAGGCCCCCAGTAGGCCGGTAAATCAACTGTACTCAGCTGATCGAGGTGTATCTCGCCCTCTTCGACTGCTTTCACATACTTAGTGATTAAATATACATGAATATGGTCGTTGTCTGTGAGCCTGCAGGCGATGTCACCCTTGCTGTACTGTAACTGCAGATTTAGGTCCGAAGGACACATGCTCCGATATTGAACACATCATATTGTTTCACTCCTCCTCTGTGAATATAGCAGACTTATCACTTGCCATCGTGTATCCCTTTTAAGCTACAGGAGAGGATAGTATAGCACCTAAGAAAATCGTGAACAGCATCCTGCACTAGTGCCATGGTCATGTATAGGTCCGCCCGCTCAGCAACAATGCTGAATCTTGACATAAGGTAACACCGAATCAAGAGGCACAAGGTGCTTCGAAATAGTACGGCTCAGCATCTTGGCCTCTCTTAGGGTTGATAAGAGAGAAAGGTTAAGTGTGCATGGAGGAAAACTTGGCGTGTAGTGAGTGGTCTTTCTATCAACTTGTTGTTAAGTATGGCCTCAGTCATGGCATGGTTTATTTTCCGGTACGCTGAGACTTACCTGTTTCTCAAGAAGCTTGTCTACCTCTCTCAGTTCTTCTTGGTGTCTGTTGAGTCAAGGATCGAGTCGTTGAACGTATGCGGGGTGTATCCGTTGAAGCATCGCTACATGCTGCGAGCGTTTGACTCCTTTGTACTGAATGTGAGGTTCGCTTGGTCGCTAATATGTGTTCTTAGCGCTTCACTCCTATATATGGATGCTCAATGTTTAAGGATAGCTGGCTAGGACTAAAGTTTGTGCCAGGCTACCAGCGCACTGAAGCTCAATCTGCGCAGGAGAAATAGTATCACACTAAGAGAGAAAGAGAGAGAGAGAGAGAGAGAGAGAGAGAGAGAGAGAGAAAGGGAGAGAGAAAGAGAGAAAGGGAGAGGGAGAGGAAGAAAGAGCACACGAGCTGTGGGAAAAGAAGATGTTTCGCAGAATGGTAATATGTACAAGATCGTCAGGGCCCTGAAGACGTTGAGACTGACTACAATGAAAGTGTCGGCTTAAAGTCTGACTTTGGAGGCCATTTCACCCGCCGCTCCGCTCTCACGTATAGGTTATTCGGCCTGATGAGCTGGAACATTGGGTCGTATTCTACCGTCGAATCCCCCTCTCGGGTGAACTTGTATCGGTACAGAAGCTTCGGCAGGAATATTTTCACCTCCTGAAGTGCAAAGTTGAAGCCAATACACATACGGGGGCCGGTTGCGAAAGGGATGTATGCGGTTTTATGCCGGTTCTTCACGGCCTCCGTGTCCCAGCGGTCAGGATCGAACCGAGTGGGATTATCCCAAACATTGGAGTTATTGTGCAGATGGTGCAATGCCCCGACAACAACCGCGTCTTCGGGGATTTTGTAACCCCCCGGCAAGATCATATCAACCTTGGCGGTCCGGGCAGGCTGCGTAGAAAAGTACGTCAGTAAACTATTGGTTAGGGTCCTCCACGGCGATTTTGCCATGCCCTAGGAAGCATGAGACGGCTCTCCTACCTGGAACGATGGATTGTGGCGCCTTTGGGTTTCTTTGATGAATTTATCCATGAATCTGAGTTGATCCGTGATGTCGGCGGTGAGCTGGGTATCCTCGGTGATACCGTGGTCGACCAGCTCCTGGAGGAGTCTCTCTTGCATGCCGGGATAGGTCACCAACGAATAGATCAGCCATGACAGCAGAGAGCTGGTGGTGGTGAAGCCGGCGCCAGTGGCCACGAGCAGGGCCTGCATCAGGGAAGTCTTGGGCAGCTTTTCGCCCTTGTTGTCGGTTGCACGGATCGCGTAATCAATCATGTTGTCCGCCTGCAGAGCCGCTTCCTGCAGTGGGAGATCATGGACGCCGCCGCGGCTCGCATTTTGGATCGACTCGTCGATCAGTTCGAAGACCCGGCCGCGGATGTCCCGCAAGCGCTTGGGGTCTCCGAAGGGGAGCTTCGAGTACCAATCGCCGCGGGCACTCACCTTCTTGTTGAGCTCCAGGGACTCGGCAATCAGGAGGATCAGCTCGTGGGGCGGGGCCGTGGCCGAGGCGAAGTGCTGGAAGTCGATGCCCAGGACCAGCTTGCCCACCGCCTGCGAGCCGAGCTTGAGCATGTACTGGTACACGTTCCAGGCCTCTTCCGCCTCGTCGAAGGCGTCGAAAACCTTGAATGCGTCCTCCACGGTGCGCTGCATGGTGGGCGCGTAGTGCCGCACCGCCTTGGGACCGAAGGCCGGCGGGAGGAACTTGTGGGCGACATGCCACGTCGGGCTATCGGTGTCGGCGAGGAAGACACCGGCCTCGGTGTTCTTGATGGGGTACAGCGGGTGCGCCTCGTTGATCTTTTTGGTGAAGAAGTCGCTCTCCGAGAAGATGATGGCGCTCAGGGCCGGGTCATTGGTGTGGTAGGTCGTGCGGCCCATGCTGCTGGTTTGGAAGATCGGTCCATACTGCTCGAACAGGCGCTGGTGGTTTCCAAGATGGTCGGGATAGATCTGGAAGAAGTTGCCGAAGATCGGGATTCCCTGGGGTCCGGGGATTTCGCTGACCGGCTTCCCATCGATGGTGATGCTGATCGGGACTTCCGATGAGCACACCTCCGAGGTTCCGTGAAAAACGGCGTCCTCGGTCTGCAGTCCGATGCCTGTCGTTGTTTAGTTTGTGTTTAGTTTGAGTTCACAGGAGGGCCTCAAATCCAGCCAGAGGCAACAAGCAGGGGGCAAGGGGGGAGAAGACTGAGGGATCAAATACCATTGGGATCAACAATGGCGAAATGCGCAGCGAGAAGATGCTGAAGTTCTCCGAAATCAAGAGCTGAGTCCACCTCAATCTCCCTGGCAGTAGCAACGGGCTCACCCAACAGGTAAAATTGCTTGGCTGGCATGTTTACCGTTTCTGGGTGACGATGCAGTGAAGAGATAGATGGGCAGTCGGATTTCCTCTGCGCGCCTTGCCGCTTTATACGCGTTATACAGGATCGAGAATCGATGCGACGCCGTCTCCGTCTGGACCATGCGCCGGACAAATCAAAACAAGCGCGACCATGTTGACCAGGAAGACGAATCCACATGAGTTACTCCATAGTGTATAGATATTTTCCACACACACACACACACACACACACACACACACACACACAGAGGCAGAAGATAACGGGGAGGATAGGATCCATCGGTGGCCTGACGGCCTGCCTCGGCAAGTCAACCCGCAACCGTTGGAAGAATTCAAGACAGGAAGCGATCGTCATATCAGGGCCCACCGCAAATACATATGCGTACTAAGTACAGTACATGAAAACTACGATTATGCTTCGGTCTTAAGCATAATCGAACATCGGCTTCCCAGCATTTCCATAAAGGGGCACAAACCGGCATAGTTCGCCCTACAGAATTACGCTGCTCACTCGGCAAACCGGCCGCTGCAACAACTTCCAAATTACAATCTCCGACGCAGGTGGGCCGACTGGATCCCTTTCTCCTACTTCCCTTCCAATTATCCTGAGTGAAAAATAATTAGAAGGAAAAAGGGAGAGAAAAAAAAAAAAAAAAGGGAAAAGAGAAAGGGAAGGAAAAAGAAGTCGCGCAATCAGAGTAGTCGCATTGTCGGTTTATGCCGTGCTATGCTACTGCTGGCAACCATGTTATATTGCGCGGCAGTTATCCCGCGACCTGGAGTCAGGAAAATTTCCCTGAAACAACTTGAATCCCTTCTTTGATGCAGAGACATCATTGACAATGGAACATTCTATACCATCAGAGTCATCGGCTCAGATGCTAGCGGATGTCCAGCTGCCCGAATATTCCTTGGCCGAGGTGGCAACACACACCAAGAAGGGAGATATCTGGATCATCGTTCACGGACAAGGTATGACACGTTGTGGTGACCCTGGAAGAGATGTAGACACTGACGATTTATTAGTATTCGACGTCACGAACTATCTCCAAGACCATCCGGGAGGTGCGGAGGTCCTTCTAGAGACCGCAGGCACAGATGCCACCGCCGATTTCGAAGATGTTGGTCATTCCGAGGATTCGCGCGATATTCTGCAAGAGTATCTGATCGGCACCTTGAAAGACGCCAAGAGATATGTATCTCCGAAAGTTGTTCGTGTTATCCCTCAAAAGTCTGAGAAGACAACACCACCAAGTTCATCCTCAGCTCGATCAATGGGTGCAATCGTCGGTGCATTGGGTACGGCGACAGCTCTACTGTATACCGTCAATCGAAGCAACCTGGGCGCCATAGATATGCGGAGGACTTTGGGCCAAATTGTCCCTTCTAAGCTCAATGTGTCCAGACTCCCGGGCGGGGAGTTTGCCCACGGGTTCATCATGGCGACAGCTGTCTGCGCGCTGCTGGGCAGCCTGGTCGCGCAGCAGGCTGCAAAGTTCACCCAAATCGACTCGGGCTTCCTCCGATACCCTCCTCGCATCAAGGCGCGGAAACGCCCCAGAGCTGACCCCCACCTGGCCAAGGGCTTTCTTGACGCCAAGGAATTCCAACGCCTGCCGTTGGTGCGGAAGGATGAATTGGCATCAAATGTGTACCGCTTTGTTTTCGCATTACCTGACCAGAAAGGAGTCATCGGTCTTCCGATCGGACAGCACGTTGCCATTCGAGCGGTGGTCAATGACACCACCGTCAGCCGATCGTACACGCCGGTGTCGAACAATCTGGACCTGGGCCGCCTCGAGCTGCTCGTCCGATGCTATCCAGATGGGCTTTTGAGCGGGCAATACCTTGCCAAGCTCGAGGTGGGCGACGAGGTAGAGTTTCGAGGGCCCAAGGGACCCATGCGATATAGCAGGGGACTGTGTACGAAGATCGGGATGGTGGCTGGAGGCACTGGCATCACCCCGATGTACCAATTGATCCGCGCTATTTGCGAGGACGACCGCGACACTACAGAGATCAGCCTCATTTACGCGAACCGTACCGAGCATGACATCCTACTGCGCGAGGAGCTGGAGGACTTCGCTCGCAAGTATCCCAAGAATTTCAAGCTCTGGTACATGCTTGACACCGCGCCTGAGGCGTGGCAGTATGGCACCGGTTACGTGACCCAAGCGGTGCTCAGCGAGCGTCTACCGTCGCCATCACCCGATACCAAAATCCTGTTATGTGGCCCTCCGCCAATGGTCAGTGCCTGCAAGAAGACGCTGGTGGCGATGGGGTTCCAGAAACCAGGAGCGATTTCTAAAATCGGCGATCAAGTCTTTTGTTTCTGAGACAGGCCATAGTCTCGCACCGACTCAGATTTGCATGTACATAAATAACAACAACAATTTTGGGCTCTGGACCAAGGGGTGGCACCATTGTATGTGTAATATTGTAGTCTAGGCAGACTGTTTTGAGATCCCCAAACGCCTCAAACGCCTCAAACGCCTCAAGCGGAAGTGGCCCGGGAAAGGCTTGAGATTTATTCTCCACTGAGGGTTAACCTTGATAAATGTCGCAGACTCGCAGACCGAATCGGTTCCATTGACTGATTGGTTGGAGCTTGTACAGTACGCACTGTCGTGGCTCGTCCTCTGACGATAAAAAGAGAGAAAAAGGAGAAATATCCGAGGTTGAGTGGAGGCAGAGACAGGCTAAACCCTACAACCAAGCTTGCTTCAGGCCTGTTGGTCGGCGTCTCCTGTCTTTGAACCTCGGCTGATCAGCAACATTATTGTTATTATTGTTGTTATTATTATTGACCACTGGACAATCAACAAATCTCTGATGGGCCGGAATGTTCTTTGCTTGCGTTCGTGATTTTCTTTCAGATTCTCCAGATTATCCTGATGTGGGGACGGACGCTGTTGGCAGCCGAGGTAAAAGTTTCCATTGTTCCAGGCATACGTAGTCGTGTCCAGTACAGGGGACAGTACGGGGTACGGTACGGAGTACATACATGCTGTCTAGCTATACATACAGTACAGTACACGTATGTACACACCGTATCATCCCCTGTGGAGTGCGCTGTGGCCATGTTAGGATCCATATCTGCCAGCACTAACAAGAAGACGGGAGTTTCCTGCGCTTTCGTCTGTGACAGAAACAAAAACGAAACTTGTTTGACTTGCCTCACTTTTCCATGATAGTTACAATATACCCTGTGTATACGGATGTATAAGTGGTATTGTTCCCTGCACTGTCACCACTCCGTGGCAAACGTGACAGTCATATCGGCGCTCGCGGCGCGCATAAGCTTATGCGGCTTGGCGCGAGGTTCCTCATCAGTTATAGCTTACCATGCGCTAACTAAGTTGGCCACCGGCATGTCATCTTCGTCCTGGAACTCACGGGGTAGTCCTCAAGAGTCTCTTAGAATTGGACAGAAGCAGCCCGATGGAATTAGTATCAGACTGCGATTGGAATTTTCTCGCGCAATTGCCAGTGTCGCATGGTTTTGAGTACCGAGCGAGCCGTCGTGGATTGCAAGGCGGCGCGCGCGCGGGAGACATCATGAACGCCGCCGAAGCGTCCACCAGTCCGACTGACGTCTCCGTCCCCTCGCGGCATCGAAGCCGCCCTTCGGTGCCAATCTCTGCTTATACGCGCAGCTGCGCTTCGTGCCGAAGACGGAAAGTCAAATGCGACAGGCAGCGACCATGCGCCAACTGTGCGCGCGCAGAACATGAGTGTGTCTATCCACCGGGCCGTGGGAGGGCCCCAAAGCAGCCGCGCAGCCGTACATTGACGGCCCAACTTTCGGAGCGACTGTCTCATTTGGATGCCATGATTCGACAGCTGAGGTATCGACGAGGCGCGAGCGTCTCGGTAGACCCTTCCTCTTCGCCTCCACCCGGAAACCCAGACGTGGAGAGCAGGGATGATTGGAGGAGACATTCCTCTGTACGGGATGCTGGAGGTGTATCCAACAGGACCAGGGCCGGTCAACCTGTGCAGCCTGGAGTGCCGCCAGCAGAAGGGTTCCTGGTCCAGGATGGTGCCTCTACGCAATACATAGATGAGGTCCTCTTTGCGCACGTGCTTGAGAAGGTTAGTAGTGCTGACTTGGTTCACAAATGAGCTATCCCGGAACTGACTGCCCTGACCAACAGGATAACGACATTCGATCGGCTATTAGCAGCCCTGGAAGTACCAATGCAAGTAGTCAGCGGCCATCCGATACATGCGGATTCGATGGCCTGATCTCAGATCCCACGCCGGACTCGTACTGTCGAAGTCCGTCGCGCAGACAGGCAACGCAGCTGTGGCAAGTCTACCTGAATAACGTCGACCCCCTTCTCAAGCTTCTCCATATTCCTAGCGTAAACTCTCGTATTTTCGCGGCCATCAACCACCCGAATCAAGTACCCGCAGGCACGAGCGCGCTTCTTTTCGCAATCTACTTCGCCGCCGTCACCAGTCTACCTTCTCCGGATACTATCCTGATATTAAACCAGGACCGGCAGTCTGCGCTCAATCGATTTCAGCGAGCACTAGAGGTTTCTCTTCATATGGCAGCGTTTCTGGATTCGCCCACTATTACCACTTTACAGGCGATGACGATCTACCTGGTGACCTTCCGCGTACACGCCTAGCCGATTATACCATACTGACACTTTCCAGAGATGTCGTCGGAATCATAGTGGTGGTCGTTCCGGTTGGGCTCTCAATGGCCTGCTCATCCGCAGCGCCCAGTCTATTGGGCTTCATCGAGACCCGGAGCATTTCAAGCTCACGCCGCTGGAATGTGAGCTTCGTCGACGATTATGGTGGCAAATCTGCGGGTCCGACAATCGGGTCGCTGAAGATCATGGGCTTTCGACTGGTTGGGTGGAGAATTCATGCGATACGAAGCTACCCTTGAATGCTGACGACAAAGATATTTGCGCAGAAACGGATGTTGCCCCAGTGCCTCGAGAGGGATGGACCGAAATGACATTTTTCCTACTTACCGCAGAGCTCAACGAAGCACTCCAGCAAGCCTCTCGAATGTCCTTAGGGATCCTTAACAGCCAGAGCCCCACGGACAGCTTGGAACAACTGTTAGAGCATGTAAGACAAAGAATTGAAGGGAAGTACCTGAAGTATTGCGATCCCAACATTCCGCTGCAGAAGGCTGCCATTTTGCTGGGCCAAGTTCTTCTAGGAAAACTCGGCGTTTTCATCCGGCAACGATACCTGAAAAGACTAGGTGCGGAAGAGTCCGCTGCTCGTGCGGTGGAGGAAACATTTGCACTGGCGTGTGACATCCTGTCTCTGGGCATAGAGTTGAAAGAGGACGAGCTCCTGAACAGTTACCAGTGGCATTTCACCACGTATCCCCAATATCATTTGCTTACCTACACGCTGTGGCATCTCTACGTGCGTCCGGACGTGCCCGGGGCAGACCGAGCTTGGGAGCTGGTGAACAAGTCATTCAGCATGACTGAACTTCCTTCCAGACCCAGTCCTGGGCCAAAATGGAATGCTCTACGCAGGCTGCGAGAGAAGGCATTGAGCATGCGCCGCGTTTATCAAACCGCACAGATTCCTGCGGTAGATGCAGAGAGCATGGAGGCCGACAACACGCAAGCTGAGAAGCTAAGTGATGAGGAGTTCATTGAGGCATTTAGAGGCGATATGCTCTGGGATCTGGATTCAGTCTGCTTTCCAGATTGGTCGACCTTACCTCTAGCATTGTGACAGGGGAATTGGATGAAAGGCTAAGTCCGAAAAATTGTATGTCTCCTTCAAGATATCGACCGCTTGCCCAAGCAATCTCGAAATTGGTATTAATCCGACCGAGCGTCATGCGCGCGAACATGGATAGCGGCTAAGCCAAGGGCATATAACTGGTTGTTGCCCAAGCCACCCGGTTGTTGTAATGTAATCACTGTCGTGCGACTCGTGCCGAGGTTGAGCGGTGTATTCGAGGGGCGGATGGGAATGATAATGCTCCTCGTGATTCCATCGCGCTGCGCTTTGATATCATGGTGTAGCACGAAAAGTGTAAAACATGCATATCTCAGGAAAAGGGAGGAAGGAGGAAAGGCAGAAAGCGATCGTGAGAAATGGAAAGAAGGGAAACGGAGAATGTCATCATCGGGTGGGGCGAGAAATCTCCATCCGGAACCAGCCGTGACGGTAAGACTGGAGAGCCGGGCGGTAGCCGGGCTAGATTCATTAGGTCTTCTACCTCTCTTGCCCTTTTTCCCCCCTTCCACTCGGCGGAAAAACAATGCCAATGTAGTCCGTAGGGACAGAGCCCAATCATCGAGTACCCTGTATATGCGTGGGTGGCTGATTGCAATTGAATTGTTTTGGCTGGAGCCAGTGCAGTGAGAGCCAGCCATGTCCGTGTATGCAGCCAAGCACAAGGGCTCGAGTCAACTTAGCACCCACTGCACCGGCAAAGCCACATGAAAACGGCATGTAGTATGAACGAATGGGTTATGTCACTTCCCTTCTTCTCCTTGTTGCCTCGCTTAACTAAGACGATGACGTTAGAGTGCAGATTGAAGAAAGTGCGTTCACCCAAAAGTTCCACCGTTTCCACCGTTTCCACAATTTCCACAAATTCCAGCCCCTCGGGATGCCGATCGGGTCCAGTCTTCTGCAGCCAGCAACAACAATGGCTGAATTTGCTTTCTTTCGATGTGGGCAGTCCGTCAGGTCCCTTTAGGCTCCACTTGCACCCGCCCGGGGACGATGGGTCGCCCCCGGGCCCCCATTCTCTTCAGCACGGTTAACTAATCATCCACCCCTCCTCCCTCATAACCGAGCGCTCGTAGGCATTATTTTCCGTGGGTACGTCATTGGATTCATTCCGGTTTTGCGTCGCCACGGGTCGCCCTCCCTCAGCGTGGGAAAGTATTTCATTGAGCCCATCGCCGGGCTGATAGTGCCTTCAATCATACATCACCCTTCCATCAAACCACTTGGAATTTCACTCAAGCCCAGTATGTCGCCCACAACCAGAAAAATCGTTTGCTTTTCAGGTAAGAATCCAGGAACGCCCCTGCGGATCCTCCCCACCCTAGCGGCTGATAACTCCGCCTTCTATAGACTTCGATGGTACCATCTTCATGCAGGACACGGGCCATGTCCTGTTCGATAACCTAGGCTGCGGCGAAGAGCGCCGTCGGCTGCTCGACGAACAGATCAAGTCGGGCGAGCGCTCATTTCGAGACGTCTCGGAGGAGATGTGGGGCTCACTCCGAGTCCCTTTCGAAGATGGTTTCCAGATAATGGAGAAGGAGTTAGACATCGACCCCGGCTTCCAGGAATTCCACCAATTTTGCGTGGACAACGATATCGACTTCAACGTTATCAGCGCGGGGCTTAAGCCAATCCTCCGCAAAGTGCTGGACACTTTCCTTGGACAGCAAGAGGTATGGTATTCCCGACGATGGTCCCTGGGTTTCTTCGCATCATTAATGCATGGCTTGTCTAGGCTTCCCGTATTCAGATTGTCGCCAATGACGCGGAAATCAGATCCGATGGGTCCGAATGGAAGCCCATATGGCGGCACGACACCGAGCTTGGCCATGACAAAGCGCTATCCGTCAAAGAGGGCCGCGCTCAAGCGGCGGAAAGTGCCTTGGATGGGGAGATCCCCCTTATTATTTTCATCGGAGACGGTGTCTCTGATCTTCCGGCTGCGCGGGAGGCAGACGTTCTCTTTGCCCGGAAGGGCTTACGCCTGGAAGAATACTGCATCGAAAACAATATCCCCTATATCGGTTTCGACTCCTTTGCGGATGTCAAGAGAGAAGTCCAAGCCATCATGAAGGAGGATCAGCAGAAAACCGGCGGCGTGGGCAAACCCGCCCGATTCAACCCTCGCGCCAACATGTGGCGGCGCATCTCCAGCAGGCAAGCTGTAAGTTGGAATGATATATTTGGCGGGCCATATTCATGGCGCTTGTTGATGCTAATCTGTCACAGATTCCCCAGTTTGTTGCTGCAACTCCTTCGAAGGAGGATAAGATGTTCCTCTGGCCCGAGAGCTTCTCGGAATATCATCCGACGAGCCAGATGAACAATGTTCCTGCATAGAGTTCTTCTTATCTGCTGATAAGTTATTTTAAGTCACTTACCCACTTCGCAGGCGTTTGGTGTAGTGAGCTGGATACCGGATATAAAGTAGATCTAGATGATTAAACGTAATACGAATGAAAGGCTTTTGTTTAAAACATACCGTGTTGATCTGTCTGTTTACTATCGGCCGAGCCTGTGGGCCCAGAGATACAGTAGTCAAGGGCCTCGCGGCAGGGATTGCACCCTCCCACTGTTCTCTAGCACTTAGATGCTAGCTGCGTGCTCGTTAGGCTAACTCAAAGCCGACAGATGTATGATAACCCCGATTATGCCTTGGGCCAGGAGGCAAAGCCTCGGTTTACCTCTCGATACGCTGATCCGAGCCATGCAGCCAGCAGTGGATCGCTGCTGGCCTCGTCGGTTGCGGAAAGATCACGGGAGAGCAAGTCCGAGCAGCAAGACTTGGAGGGAGATTGAGAGGCAGCAGTCTGGATTCGGTTCAGGATCGCAGGCAGCCTACCATGGCTCTGGGCCCACTCGAGAGGTCGAAGTACGCTCGAGCATCCCGATCGGATCGATTGTCATCCCATGAGTCAGGAGGGGGTCAGGAATTGCAAAGTGAATCTTTCCACGGTTCTTTGTATCCCAGTGGTGTTTCTGAGCGCAGGCCGATGCTTCGGGTGCCGCGGGAGGTTGGGTCTCTGGGAGTTAGACAAATCAGCGAGATTAAGAGCTAGTACTGCAAAAAGTTGAGATGCCGGCTTATCATGCCTCAACATATCTGAATGGGGGGTGATGTTAATGAGGGTTGAGAAAATCCTCTACCTCATGGTCATCAGCATGCCAGTTGAAGAAGAAATGGAGGAGGCGCAACGGATACTGAGGTCTTGAGAAGATGAGAAGATATTGTAAAAAGGATGCTGTAAATAGCGAGTCAGGTGTGTAGAACCAAATAAGCAGGAGTGATGGCGCGATGATGAGAGAATGAAGAATGCCAAGAAGGAGATGATTCCAACCCGAGAAGGACTAAATACTCATGCCGGATCGATTAAGTGCATGAGTACGGTTCCTGATAGGGTTTTGCAAGGTGCAAGGCGATCAATAAAGCAGGCTTATGGCAAAGGTGAAAAAAGAAAGGTCTTGATCTTCGAAAAGAAAAAGATTGAGTCAAAAGGAAATCCTCCCCGACTGGGAGTCGAACCCAGGTCTCCCGCGCTTGTTCCCAAGTGGGATTGACAAGCGGAAATCATGACCGTTAGACCATCGAGGAATTGATACTTTATGGCTTTGTAAATGTTGCTCTATGATCAATTATGACACACTATGCACGACCACCATTCACCAGCATCAATGAGTGTCACGAAGGCAACCAGAGAAGGGGAATACACATCAATGATTGTGGACGACGCTAAGTCCATGATCAACACCATCCTCGGGCCCAAATGGAAAAAACAAGACCACAACAAAGCACCTTTCATGCACATACCTAAACCGTAGACCACCTCAAAGAAGTATATAGGCAAGCGAGGCGGGTGGTTCAGGCTGTACCTTGCAGGTTGTTCGCAGAAAATGGCCGGTAATTACACACACCTAGCTCCGAATGGTAGTCTCTCCTGTCGATGCCGTGCGGGGTAGTAAGGCAGGGGCCAACGGCACGCCCGTAAACCGCAAGCGGCTTCATGCGGTAGACTTCATTCAGCTCAAAAGGGCATCCTGGTCGGTTCCAAGAACAAAACGGGCCCGAGTGTATGCCAAGCTATTTCCCGGGGTGGGCGACCCTTGTGTTCTGGCTTGATTATGCGTAGTAGGCCAAGGAAAGTCGAGTCGAGTGTGCCACTGCATCTGCTGAGTATCTCAGATATTAGACTGATCGGGGGTTCCACCGGGGTTTTTCCCTGCTCGGTAATTGAGAAGAGACAAAAGAGGGGGAATTGAGCACGGTCGACGTCATGCTACCTTAGTCTCATTTTACATTTCAGAGCCGAGAAGCATATTGCCCTGCTCCTCGAAGTCGCTGCCTGGCCCAATTTCAGTCAGTCAATCGGCTTCGATTGAATCCTTCTCTCTTTTTTTTTTGAGGGTATTCCCGTAGCCACAAAGCTTGTTATCCTACTACACGACTGAGGGATCCTTGGGCAATTCAGAGGAGGCAGGAAAGAAACTGTCCCCAAGCCCGGAATAATGCATCAAAACATGTACCTAGTCCTCACAGCCCAGTAGAAGCATGCAGGTGTATGTACAGTTCAAGAAAGGCATCGATCGACATATCGTACGGTTGGCCAAGACGTTCACCCTAAGACTACCTGCGAATTGTGACTGCGAGTTGTCGGGGTTATGTCGGCAGAAGCTAAATCTCAGTCACGATCTCGCTTCACAATGTCGGCCTTCGATCTGCTGCTTGTCTTGCTTCCCAGACCCAGCATCTCCAAATTGGTCTCTCAACCCCTCACCTCTGTTTGCCCTCATCCGACTCCAGATCCTCCCTTGCCTTCCCATTTGAGAGTAGATTGCTTGTCCATATCACAGTTTGAGAACATATAAAGACACTATGCTATTCTCCTCAAACAACAGCATCAGAACCATCCTTCGCAGGCTGCAAGATGGTGGTATTTTCGGGCCTTCGAGGCATCGCCGCTCTTTCTTTATTCTTCTCCTGGGTTCAGCAAGCATGCAGTCTTTCTTTGGTTGTGAACAAGGCGGGAGGTAATGCTTCTAGCCCACTCCTGTACGGGTTCATGTTCGAGGTATGATCAGATTGCATTGCTTGGCGATGAGGTGGCATCTGATAAGCTACTTGCAGGACATCAATCACTCCGGAGATGGAGGTATTCATGGCCAGATGCTGCAGAACCCTGGCCCCCAGGGTTCTTCGCCGAGTACCACTGCATGGACTGCTGTCGGAAAGGGCACTATTGCTGTCGACAGTGAGAACCCACTGAGTTCAGCAATCACTCACTCGTTTAGGCTAGACGTCGCATCGGGTGCCACCGGGGCTGTCGGCTTCATCAACGATGGATACTGGGGCATTCCTGTTGATGGAAACGAGTTCGAGAGCTCTTTCTGGATAAAGGGTGACTACTCAGGCAAATTCACAGTTCGCCTCCTTGGAAACAGCACCGGCACAGTATATGGTTCCAAGACTTTCACCCATAAGTCCAACTCGAAGACCTTCACGCAAGCGTCTGTGAAGTTCCCAAGCAAGAGAGCTCCAGACAGCCATGTTGTGTACGAGCTCACCGTAGATGGCAAGGCTGCTGCGGGCTCTTCTTTATATTTCGGTTATATAACTCTTTATGGGAAAATGTATAAGTCGAGGTTTGTGGAATGCATTTCCAGTACATGATTGATCAACTCATCCGCTCTTTCTCATAGGGAGAATGGATTACGCCCACAAATTGCCAATTATCTGGCAGATGTCAAGGGATCCTTCTTAAGATTCCCCGGAGGAAACAATCTCGAAGGAAACAGTGTGGACAACAGATGGAAGTGGAACGAGACAATAGGTCCATTGGAGGATCGTCCAGGACGCGAAGGTTTGTGCATCGTCGCTTAGATGTTGATGTCCGTGACAATCTAACCTGTACAAGGTACTTGGGATTATTGGAACACCGATGCCTTAGGGCTAGCAGAATATTTCTACTGGTGTGAAGACCTAGGTCTCACGCCAGTTCTAGGCGTGTGGGCTGGATTTGCTTTGGATTCCGGTGGTGGCACCCCCTTGACGGGCGATGCTTTGACACCCTATGTAGATGATGTTCTAAATGAACTCGAGGTATGCGAATCCCGAAAGTAGAATAGTTGCGACCTCTATAGTTTTATACTGACTGGCCATAGTACATCCTAGGTGATAAGAGTACCACTTATGGCGCCCTCCGTGTTTCGCACGGACAAAAGGAACCATGGAGCCTCACAATGGTCGAGATCGGCAATGAAGACAATTTGGGTGGAGGATGTGCCTCATATCCCGAGCGCTTCACAGCATTCTATGATGCTATCCATGCCAAGTATCCGGACCTGACGCTCATTTCCAGCACGGCCGACTCGAGCTGCTTGCCGGATGAAATACCTGAGGGCACCTGGGTGGATTACCACAATTACAACACCCCGGACAACCTTGTAGCCCAGTTTGGTCAGTTTGATAACATCAACCGTACTGTGGGCTACTTCATCGGCGAATACTCGCGTTGGGAAATCACATGGCCCAACATGAAAAGTTCAGTTGCAGAGGCCGTATACATGATCGGCTTCGAGAGAAACAGTGATCTGGTCAAAATGGCAGCATATGCTCCATTATTGCAGTTGGTTAATTCCACTCAGTGGACGGTGAGTAATTCTAGCAGTAGCAACAGACCTTGGTGCTAATTTCGTCTAGCCGGATCTCATTCCGTTCACTCAGGACCCCGAGATGGCCTGGGGAAGTACGAGCTATTATGTTCAGAAGCTCTTCTCCGAAAACCGTGGAAGCACCATCAAGGAGGTGACCTCTGATTCTGGCTTCGGTCCCGTGTACTGGGTGGCTTCAAACTCGGGCGACACATACTATGTCAAGCTGGCCAACTATGGCGAGAAGTCCGAGAGCGTGAGCGTAACGGTACCGGGAGCGAAGGCTGGAACACTCAGTCTTGTCTCAGACAGTGATCCAGATGCTGCGAACACCGACCTGGAGCAGAATCTGGTGGTTCCCTACGAAAATCAAGTGAAATCCAGCAATGGCACCTTCACATTCACGATGCCCGCATGGGGTGTGGGCGTCCTCGCCGTCCACTGATAAGATACCTTTGTCCTTTCTTGAAAGAAGCAAGATCTCTAACCCTCATTTTGTGACCCTCTCTCTACGACTGAAGAATTCGACGAGATGTGATTTGTTTATAAGTTTGAAATGAGTGGATCAAATATGACAATGTATGCATGAACCTAGGTACATTCAACGACCAAGTTCAAATTTGGAAGCAAGCTTGGAAAGCATGACCAACAGCAATCAGGCCACTGGCTAGACTGAAGAGTACCTAAAGAGGGGCAGTTGCCACTTCGCGCGGGTCCGACTCCAGTTGCCGTCCAGTCTGCGCTCGTGGCAACCCCACCTTCTATAGACTATGTGTATGGCACGTACTGTGTACGTACAGCAGTACAGTACCTACAGTACACACACCCTCCTAGTCGACACGAAAAATTAAGATGAGATAACATACCTGTCATTAAATTAAATTGGGAGCATAAATAAAGTCTCTATCAACTATCTGGCATGTCATAAGACATCTAATGAAGGACAGTACCCATCGGCTAATAGACCATGTTGCACCAAATTTCCATGATGGAATGGAAGTACTACTCGGACTAAGTACCCCGCTAAGGGAGCTAGGTACCACTACTAGACATCACGCTAAGCTATTGTAGGCTAGTAGGGCTGTTATCGCATGTCATTTTCCAACACCATTGGTGCGGGTTTGCCCCTGCGCTGCGATTAGATAAGATTTTTCTTCGAGTACCAGTCCATATCAACCGATTTTTTTTTTTTTTTTTTTTTACGAGGCCACTGGGCAGAGCCTAGAGCCCAGAATCCACGCTGCTATAAAACCCACCAGGCGCCGGCGCTACTCCAGTTTTCTTCTTTTCTTTTCTTCTTTGCGCCCTTTGTTACAGGCAGTGAGCGACTTCGGAGCTTTGCGCTCACTATTGCTGGCGAAAAGCTCTTGCTTTTTTTTTTTCTATTACGAGCATTTTTGGGTTCCGGTTTCGTCACCATTTCAAAATCTCATTATCTTAGTCCTTCCATTTCGCCATGTCGACCTACTTCGAAAGTGAGAAGACCTCGGCAGTCACCGAGGTTCAGCCTCAGCCACCAACAGAGAAAAATGAGCAGCTTCACTCGGTGACTGAGTCGCCGGCGGTGGGTTCTCAGGACCAACCAGGGGAACAGCAGCAGGAGTCGCAGGAGGGACGGTTTCGACAACTTTTCCGTTATATGCGCACTCGCGATTTTTGGCTGCTCATTTTGTTAGGGTGAGATCTATTTGATATATTCCAGACTAAGCCCCCGTCACTAACTCAAGCCACCTGTCCAGTCAAGTTATTGCTCTCGCGAACATCAGCTCTTCCACATTTTCAACTCTTCTATCCAATGAAGGAACCAGTATCCCCGCCTTCCAGACGCTGTGGAACTATGTGCTCCTGAACCTGGTGTACACGAGTATTACTATCTACAAGTACGGCTTCAAGAAGTGGTTTCGCATGCTGTACACCGACTGCTGGAAGTACTTCATTCTCTCTTTCCTCGACGTTGAGGGAAACTACTTTATGGTGCTGGCCTATCGCTACACCTCGCTTCTGAGTGCCGAGCTGTTCAGTTTCTGGACAATCATCGTGATCGTGATCATCTCATTTATCTTCCTGCGCGTCCGGTACCACATCACGCAGTATCTCGGAATTTTCCTCGCCTGCGGCGGTCTCGGCCTTCTCATCGCATCAGATTATCTCCGTGGGGCTAATTATGCCGCGTCGAACAAGGTCAAAGGAGATCTATTCGCCCTGCTTGCGTCTACCATTTACGCCTTCAGTAACCTGTTCGAGGAGTTCATGGTTTCGAAGCGTCCTATGTACGAAGTCATTGGCCAGATGGGTTTCTGGGGTATGTGGATCAACGGTGTGCAGTGCGCTATCTTTGATCGGAGTTCTTTCCATGGTGCCACTTGGAATGGCAAGGTTGGAGGCTATATCGCCGGATATACCATCGTCCTTTTCATTTTCTACACCTTGGCCCCCATCATGTTCCGGCTTTCGTCAGCCACGTTTTTCAACATTTCCATGTTGACGATGAATTTCTGGGGCTTGATCATCGGTATTCAGGTCTTCCACTATTCCGTTCACTTCCTCTATCCGATCGCTTTCGTTCTCATTGTGGTCGGTCTCTTTGTCTACTTCATCAAGGAGAGTAAAATGGGTGAAGCAGCCAAGCCATGGCTCGGTGAGAACCAGGAGCTTGGTGTTGACGGTGTGGGTACCGCTCGTCGTGCGCAGAACACTGGACATGCTCTTGTTTAGGCCGATCCTAGCAGGGGGGCCATATGGGGAGACGTTCAATGTCGGACTGGAAGTAATGTGCTGTGATAAAAGTTTCTCTTGTTTCCCTTTTTCTTTTTTTTTTCCACGCTACCCTATATATGTACTAGAATCAGTTAATATGCATAATTAATGCTAGCAGAATAATGACGACATGAGTCAATTGAATGGATGTGGCTCTCTCTTCCTCTCATAGGCACTTCGTTATCTGTGTATCCGGTGTTATCTTTCCTGGGTTCCAGTGCAATTCTGTTACCCAACATGCCAAGCTACGATCTGGCGCAGCCTACTTGCTCAGATTGAGAGACACATATGCCTCAGTGAGCCCATTGGGAAAGTCTTCTTTTCAATCTCAACAACGAGTTCAGAGGGATGGATTCGGTACAGCCCTTTCAGACTATTTTTCACCGTCATTACTAATATTGCGTCGACTAACCATGTATCGATTCCACCACCATCACCCATGTAAAGACTGGGGCCAACTCGTGATCGCATGCTTGATACATGGAGCCCGACGGATAGGACAGCCGAGATAAAAAGGACAAACACCGACCAGGTTTAGCTCGAGTACCGCCACTGCGGGTTTGCTACCACATTTAAGCCACCGTGACTGACATGCAAGCTAGTTGGAGTATCGAGGAAAGTAAGCTACCTTCAGTCGAGCGCCGTTCTTGCTTATCATCGCGAGAACAACAACAAAAAGAAAAACCGATAAATTCTGACAGGAAAGCAGGATCGAAATGCTTGACCGAGGACGCAGGACCGATGTAGGTCACCTGCTCCTGCTTACTCAATAGCCCAAAAAGAATGCAGGGATCTTTTTTTCCCCTCTCCTTTGGCGATAACCTTCAACTATACCTGCAGCTGCCGAGTTGCCTCTAGCCATCTAGGTCTACCTGTGCCTCGTGCAGAAGACTACACACGACGAACTGCAATAAATGCGACAAGACAAAGAAAGAAACCGCCCCAGCAGGCCTGGTGGGGACAAGTCGATCCACATTTGAACTTGTCAAACAAAGAATCAGTCGGATCCAGCGGCTTTAATTCTTTTTTTCTCTCCTTTCTTCTACGACCATACCTATTGTTGTACTGTATCACTTACCTTGGCTTTGTTGCTTTGCTTCGAGATGCTCGAACAAATCGGAATGTAGGTTCCGGGAGACGGTGCAGTGGCAATGCGACACTGTAAGAAGAAAGCAGCGTGTTTCAGTCTCCGTTCCATTGGGCCACGATAGTCTTAGCTGACTACTAGGTACCTAGTCTACTGAGTCCGCAGGTATAGGGCTATTGGAAGATAGGAAGAAGGAAAGGCAGGAAAGGATCAGTCCGAGATAATGGAAGGGGAAAAAAAGAAAGAAAAGAAAAGAAAAGCAGGTATGCTCGTACTGTACGTCAAATGTCATGTGAACGTTGCTGGTACTGAGGAAAAACCTCTTTCCCAAACAAGGCATTAGGTCAGGCAACTGGAACCCTGAGCCCTGCTTTGCGACAGGTAGGTCCGGTACAAAGTAGTAAGTACTTTTGTTGGCGGAGAAGTCAGATTTGACCGAGTCCGGGAACTGGCCCTTCCGTTCCCCAGTGGCTGAAGGTGGGAAACATAATGATATTTACTATGTACTACGAGTAGTATGTAAATTCTTAATTATAACAATGGAAAGAAAAAGACTGGTATGCGAATCCACACAGAACCAAGTCATCGGTCAGTCCCACATATCGAAGATGATGGTCGGAAGGTTATACTCGACTACCGGTACCTATGGATCTCCTGGAAATCAAGTTCTCGATCGCTTGGCTGCAAATCCCTTGACTGGTTTATGTACAGTACCTGACCCGACTCGGGCCTACGATCGTCTGATCCGAAATGGAAGACCAGGTTGTCGACAACTGTGGGGCCCATTGGCGAAACAACGACTCTTTGTTAGACCCAGTGCCCCACCCAACCTTGATGATGGTACTGTACTGTACAAGAATCGGTGTCATATCATATTTCACCATTTCACCCCCCTGCCCCCGTCCAACCTATCTTACATGATGATTTTCACGATGGCACTCGGATACTATGCATAGCTTCTGGTGGCGGTGCGAATCTTACAAGTACTTAATAGATCGGAAAACCAGCACCCCCCCGACGTCATCGTACAGACCGTTTCCCAGTCAGCTGAGCTCTCGGTTCGGTACCTTGTCCGGTTCGAATTCAAATTGCCTTCGATGTGGGTGATGTCAGATCAAGTACCTGACCATGTTCCTCTCCCCCTTCCCGGCCCACTACCTACAGAGCGACCGTTGAATGAACATGTAGGGTATTGAAGATAGGTTTAAGTTCGAAGAAAAAATCCTGCGCCTCAAATGTGATACGTCATAGAACAACCCAAAGATTCTAAGATCTGACTAAAAATAAAAAAGAAAAGAGGGGGAATGGTATATCCGGAGCAACAATCGCTAAATCTAACAGAAGAGGCTCAATAAAACACGTATAGTCAGAAAGTTTCCAAGAAGAAAAGAAAGAAAGCACGGGGAAACCGCTAGCAGATCGCTGACAGCCCACATAGTTATGGTGGTGCTATTTGGAGGGAGAAGAGTGTGCTCGATTCGTAGCGCGTGCGTTTCTTTCTTCCTCTGAAGGCCACCGAAAGTCAGTATCGGTGAAGAGATACACACTGGAGCTGCGTCCGCATACCTTGGGCCTGCTTGATCTGGCGGATGGTGTCATTGTGAATCTTGGCCCATTGCGCCTGGTAGTCGGCTAGAGTGGGCGTGGGTGATTGATCCAGCTTGTTGCCGCCGGCTCCCGACTTGGTTGCTGTGATGTTGTGGTCCATTGTGAAGCTTTCTATGTGATTTAGATGTCGATGCCGGAAAGAATCGAGGTGGACGTAAGTCTGAAATAAGCTTTGGGGGAGGAGAGAATCGGCAGAAAGTGTGCAGTCGAGGTAATTGATTAAAGGGTGCGTGAGCGTTGGGGACTATACTTCCGGGACGGTCTTGAGGATCCATGATACTTATATCCTTTTTTGCTCCCGAAACCTCGTCCTTACTTAACTTGTCTAACCATCAGTTTCACCCACTCTTCTGCGGGTCAGTCGACCAGGTTGGTAATTCAAACCGTGCCATGTGGCCGCCTAGCGATGAGGCACCCGCCCTATGGATCCGGCTTTGTTCGTTTGCTTCCCTTGCATTCCCTGTCAGAGTGGGTGCCAAAAAAAAAAAAAAAAAAAAGAGCTCCCTGAAGGGGGAGGAGGCCTGAAGCTGACCAGTGGCAGGTAGCCTAGCAGATGAGAACCTGATTCAATGACCGGCTGCAGCTCCCATGAAGACCTTGAGAGTGATAATGAAGCAATTATTCTCTTCTTCTTTCATGCAACTGCAGTTCCTTGACCGCTGATAGGGGGGAAGAAGCAAGATGAGGATATTGAATCTCAGGAACTGTGGACACTAATTCAGTACTAGGAGTCATCTCTTCCTTCGACTCTTGTTCCGTTTTTCTTTTTCCTCTGCTTTTCTTTTCTGTTTTATTTCTTCTTTCAAGTGTTTGTCCTTTTTTTCTGCTTCTCGATTTCTTTGCATTCTATCGGGATCAACCCTCGGTCGGCCCTTGCCATCTAGACCAGGCGAGGCCCCGATTGGCCGGGGAAAAGCCCAGGCGCGGCCGTGGCATCGATCCCATTGGGTTCAATTCACATCAGGGAACAAGGAGTCGAGGGCGGAACGGAACACGTAGTGATGTTGGACTGTTCGTCGCAGGGTTTTGTGTGACGCTCTGTCGGGATCAACGGTTCTGGGCTGATTGGCCTCTTACTCTCCGATCCGCTCATGCGGATGGCGTTCCGCGTCCCGATGGTCTCCTGGATCCCCGGTATTTGGGCACCGATGAGCCGGTTAGGCTATGTGGGCACCGCGAAGTCAAAACGGGAATAGTGGGCGGGATTGGCGGGACCAAGCTAAGAATCATCAGCCAGATGATGAGAGTGGCGAATTAGCAGTGTTATGGTTGGTCTTGAAAGTTAAAGTATGAAAGTGGTTGGGACTTGGAAGTAGTAGAAGATAGATAGTGAGGATGGCGGGTGGTGGTGGCAGAATCGCGGGCGGAAGCCTTGGATGATGCTAACAAGAAACAAAGCTCTTCTTGCATGCAGTGGAGGGTATTATTTCCTTGATCGGGACATGCAGCCACGACGACTGTCGCTTCACTTGACTGCTGGTACCCATTTTCACCCGTCGAATCTGAGGCACTCTCTTTGTTCTGGAGAAGTTCGATTCCAAGAACTACCACTGATAGAGTACAGTACACCACACCAGACAAGCAAGAAGGCTGTCTCCCCTCCGAATGGATTGGTCACAACCAAGTCCTGCTCACTCTTCTTCGGCTCTCCCCTTTCATGCCGGAACCCACTGCGAACAGGTCAATAAGCTTCCACCGACCCATATCGGGATACAGGTTGAAGCAATGTATCGTCCCCTAAGATAGTACGTACCGTACTTTTCTCGATTGTACTATCTACACACAAAACGGCCACCACGGATCTGGACCCGATCGGCTGGCCCACTACAGTCTGACCCATTCCGGGCCAAGTGAAATGGCTTCAGGCGATCAGTGTTAGTCCAATCGGGGAACTTGCAGAGCCCCAGGGAGATCCACCGGCAATGGAAGCCCGAAGAAGCATTCGGTTAAGTCTTGTCTATTTTCACCGCCACTTCTGATAGATCCAGTTCCAGCCTCAAAGAACAATGAACAGGCCAGTCTTGGCTGGGGCAGACCGGCAGAGGATATTAGAGACCGCCAAAACACGACCTACGGCTTGGGTGAGATGTCGTGAAACAAACGTGTTGTTGTCGGGCCCACAGAATATATATCAACGACTGAAAAATTCCAAAAAAGGTCCCATATCCACCGACCAGGCATATTCTTCGATGCAGCCAAATGTGAAGCTTGATAGAAAGGACACATCGCACTGAGCAGGGATTACCTATTGGCGGGCCATGCCCGATCATGTTGGTTTGCCTACCGACTTTCCTGGTTGCACCGTTGGTCCAGGATGCGTGAGTCCCAGACATTTTACTAGGTATGTTATGCTGCTGTGTCACAGCATCATCATACAAATGCATGCCTCGTTAGAAGCCTTGTGCGCTGATCGCTGTCTTAGTCGTCTGCCTTCGCTAAATTTAGGTTCTGTCAACATCGACGGACTCCATGTCTCGGCCATGTTCTCTCCTTCATGTTCTTACTCATGCCACTACGGCCGAGTAGTTTTCTTTCTTTCTTTGTTCGCGGGACTGACCTGTACAACACCAGTTCGCCCCGGTCTAATTTCGGCTGTCTAGACCCTGGTCCTTGTTGAACCTGCAGCCGTCCCGGGCTGGGCCGCAGTTTTGAGCCAAGTTTTCGACTCTCGGGCAAGGCTTCTTGACGAGCGACAAAGTCGGAACAATCAGCATCTCCTCGCAATCATACCATCTCTGTCAGACACAGAACGAACTTTGGGCAGTCTATTTTGAACTTTATTCATGAAGAGACATCTAGGCGCTCATTCTAGAGGTTTCATGGTGGATGGGCATGCCGAGGCAAAGACTTCCTCTGAACAAGACGCGCGTCAGCCATGATGAGCAGGGCTGCATGACTGTATGGAAACCCAGGCTTTGGTCAGCTTGTGGCGTCGCTATTGACTAGGATCCGACAATTGAACAAAGCATGCCTCTTGGCAGACCATTCTTGCACTTTCCCGCACACAGAAGGGAGACCTGATCTCGGGTCGAGCTGACTTGTCGCCTCGCAATTCCAGCCTATGTTTATACTGATTCCTCAGAAGACTGACAGAATTGCCCTATTCTTTTGCCTGGCTGGGACTGAACTCTTGCAAGCCAAGGTATCCAAATGCCGCTTGTTGCCGCCAATTGCTGCTTAAAATGCCGCAGAGGATGTGTATTTAGAAGTGAAAATTCACGTTGATTCACACCTTTCCAAATACGAAACGTGATGCGAGTCGCCCTCTCTTAGATTTAAGTCCATCCTTTTCCAAAAATACATTGTGACTCCTCGAAAAGCGCCTTCGAACCCGCGCACTATCTCAGTCCTACCTTCGTCCCGTTCCTGGAACAGCATGTCAATGTCAGGTTTTCCTCCCAAGGGCCTGGATCGCGGCTCTCCAGTATCGAGAACTTTTGTGCCAACCGCGCCGTCACATAACCTGCCTCTGTCAGTGCATACTGCTGACCGACGCAAATCCGTGGTCCTCCATTGAAAGGAAGATATTCCCAGCTTGGGCGTAGGTCAGCCCACCGCTCGGGTCGGAACTCTTGCGCATCCGAACCGAAGAAGTCTTTGCGCCGGTGCATCGCGAAGACAGAATACGAGACAACACTGCCCTTCGGCACGAAGATGCGGGACTTGCCATCCGGGCCACCACCAGTAGGAAGAATGGTGTCGGTTTGGGCAAAACGAGCGTTAGCAGGAACGACGGGGTGAATACGAAGCGCTGAAGGAGTCAGTCAGTGCAAGTGACCCTAAAGAGCGAGCGAATGGCCTTTGACTTACACTCATTCAGGCAGTACTTCAGGTACGTCAGGTTGCGCAGCTGCTCATATGTAGGCGTACGCCCTTCCAGGGTTGCGACTTCCTCGCGCAATTTGTTCCAGACCTCGGGGTGTTTTGCAAGCATGAAGAACAAGTTGCTCAGTAACGATGCGGTGGTATCTCTTCCAGCCAGGAGGACATTGATCAGCTCGCTACGAATTCGTGTCCGGTCACCAGTCTGCTGCGCCAGGCTATCAAGGAACAAGTATCTGTGCTGTTCCTGTGCGTCTTTCTCTTGACGGTACCGCTCACGCGTCCGTAGCGCCTTGTCGACAAACTGCTCGACTAGATCATGGCATATACGATCGCATTGGTCGGCTTTGCGGTCGCGGTACAGGTATCTTAGCTTGCCCAAGCGCGCTCTTGTGGCAATAGCATACTGCGAATAATTGAATGCCTCGGCGAAATCCTTTTCTTCCTCTATGCTTTGAGGGTGCCCCGCCCTTCGCTTCTTCAAGCTGTGTACGCTGTGCCCAAACAGGAAATCGGTGGCAGAGTCGATGGTGAATCCGAAGAACAGATCTTGAAGATCGACGGTGGTTCCATCGGTGGGTATGAGGGCCAGCAGATCATCCATAAGCTCCTCGAAAATGTCAAGATGAGCGACCTGCTCCTTGGCGAAATTCGGGCGGACCATAGCCCGCGACTGGGCCCAATGCTCGCCATCTGTTGTGAAGATACCATGGCCGAGGAGCGGTCCGAAGGAGTGGATACGATCCCCCAGACCATAGTCCTTGAAACGAAGAGAGAGAATGGTTTTCACATTCTCGGGATCGCGCGTCGCGATCACGGTTGTGCCCAGCCGACGAGCTTGGAATGTGTTACCGTAGGCCTCGAAGCGGTCGACACTTCTCTCGAGAAAGTTGTGTTCTTTGGCCTCAACCATCCGCTGATAAATCCCATCGAGGCCGAAAAGAGGGCCCCATTCACGGAGGGTGGGGGGTGGTTGGCATTGGTTTGCTCTGGCCATGCGATATTGCTTCAATCGACGATTCAAATAAGTGAGGATTGAGCCGAGGACGACGACAGTGGCAGCGAACACCGCAACGGGATGGTGGGGTGTGTAGGCAGTCATAGTTTCAATCCGTGCCAGCCCTCCCACTACTGGCGATGATAAGTGATGAACTAGCTATCAAAAAGGAAGGGAAGGGGGGAAGTTGCCGATGAAGTGGCTTTTATCCAAGAAAGGCGAACGGCTTGTGATGTGTTTTGCCCGCCTGCCTATGTTTAGCCGGGGTTCGGACGGGCGTAAATCGAAGACCGAGAATGCAAGTGTGCTGATGCTTGGGCCTGTGAAGCTTAACTGAGAGCGGAGATGCTTGCGAGTGGAGCCAGAACTGTAGGCAGAGCATTTATTCTTTTTATTCTTTTTTTTTTTTTTTTTTTTTTTTTTTTTCGATTGACACATTTACAGTATCTTCTTGATGCATGCGGGAGGACATCGACGAAGCCACCTTTCAATGACGACTGTGCCTACTAATAGCTGACTACCTATTACCTGTTCAGAGATTCCGAGATATTGTACTAGTAGGTACCATGTTGGCCCGCACATTTGAATCGAGATTACGATTACGGGGCTCGGATGAAGTCGTCTGGTACTCCATACAAAACAAAGAACTCTCGGCCTGGTCTTTCCGCCCAACCGCAAGCGGTTTGGCTCGATCTTTCCCCGCAAATTTCCATGGAATAACCCAAGGTGTTTTTGGCAGGAGCCGAGGTAGATACCGCGTCAGCCTCTTAGAAATCTCGACAGCTGAAATGGTGGTCGTCATGGAGAGAGGGGTAAGGCAATAAAAGAAATTCAAAAATTCAGATCAGTACGGAGTAGGTTACTGTATCCTTGCTGCCCACAATACGAAATTCACCCAGTAATACTGACTGACTGGCCAGCTGGCTGGTACAGTAACTACTAGCACACGACACTCACTCAAAGCCTCAACTCCGTGTCCCTTGGGCCTAAACTCCGACACGGCCCTTCGGCATTCGGATGGCCCGAATGCCTTTCCAGCCGGTCGGTTTACAGACGAGGGGGGAGGAATGCTGGACCTTTTATCAACTTGGAAAACCAAATACGAAAAAAAGAAGGAGACAACTGGTACCTACGGAGTCGAAAAGTACAGGTGTTGTTAGCGGTGACCTGAAGTACTGTACTGTACATACAGCACAGTACTTTCTTGGGTCAAAGCTCTCACTCATTCGTGGCAGACGAGGTCGGAATAAGCACAAGCCCCCCTTGGCTGCACTGCACGACTTTGATCCTGATCCGGGAAATCCTTCGCATCTCACCCGCAGCGCTAGCTGGCTCCTTGAGGACTCACTAGGTAGAGTCTTTGATCGCTCGATCGGGGCGGATAGTGGGGGTCAGGCGGTGGGTGTTTAGCTGTCTACCTGGCCTTGGCGATGAGTTTAGCTCGATCACATCGGGGACCCGGCGAGGAATCCTTACTGTTCCCCGTGTGTTCTTAATGTTGGTAGGCGCGGATACCGCAGCTATAGTGGGTGAGGTGCGCGGGGGATGTACTGTACAGTCACTACAGCCCAGTAGGGCAGCACTCGCGTAATCTTTACTACTTCCTACGTGGTGGTTAACGGATAGGAAAGGGCTTGGTGATGACTATGAGGCTACAAGCGTGCGTTCGCAATACATAGTCTTATACGGACGTACGCCGCTTGCTGCGAAGCTTAGAAAAGGAAGCTGAGCTAACAGTCCGAGGCCTTTGTGGTTGGGTGGCCTGGGCCATGGGCTGCCACGCTACTCCATCTGTGCTTGGACTCGAGATTCGAGTGTAGAGGTACTTACCTAAGGTTCACTCGATAAAGTACGTTGTCTGCTGGGGTGAGTTGTCCCGGTGTTGGTGGCTTTAAGAGCTTCCCTTCAATTCTCCTAATATACTTTGTATGTCTTTGCCATGAGAGGCAGACAGGCTTGGCATATCTAGGACTCCAAAGGCGGCATGCTCAATCAAGGATCCAGCTCCAATATTTCATTCTGCCTACAACAGTGCCATCTCCAAAGACTCCGCAATAGGCAATGCATCCAGTTCAAGTGGCCAAGAGGAAAAGCAAACCCAAGCATAACCAACCGCCCGGTCACCGCTGAATAGCGGAACAAAACAATCCAGGAAGCGATATCACAACGACGTAAACGATGAAGGCCTACCCGGAACTCAACTCCGATGTCATCCTTATCACCTCGCACTTAGAAAGAGCATAGTCTGCTTGTGGGATGTGATGTTGGAGTTGAGTGAGGCGGTTTGCCCCGTCGAAGGTGCTTGCCCTACTTTTTCACACCCGGAGGGGTGTAAACCGCGCCACCTTTACCGTCGTTATAGTAGGTGCTTCCATCCGAGTTGGAGTAGTAGTACGAGCCATTCCTAAGCTTGGTTGTCAGGGTCTATGCATGGATGTGGATATGAGGAATCGAAAGCAACAGGTTCTTACTGGTTGCTGTAGTGGTAGGCATCGCCGCGGTCGGGGCCGTTGGAGTCGGAGCCAGTGCCGTAGTCGCGAGAGCACCAGTGATTGCCCTGAAACTTGTTATTCATCGCGTTGAGACAGAGTAAGAGTTGCTGATGGTATTCTCTGTAGTGCTGGCGGAAGAGGGCGGGTAGGAGGGGCTGTAAGAGGGCACATGTAGAAGGAGAAACTGCTTACCTGGCTGTTTGTGCCGGACCCGGTGTAGGTGAAGCCTTTTCCAGAATCTCCGGGGCTGGACATGGTGAATGTTGCTCAAGTGCTTTGATTTGGATTTGGATGGAGAGTAGATGCTTAGAGAGTATCAGACGATATCAGATATAATAATGGCAATGACCGCGGGGTTGATGGTGGAAGAGGGTTCCGAAGGTGTGTGTGTGTTGACGGCAGAATGACCAGATATAGCGGGAATACCATTAACTAATTCACAGAACCACCCAGCAAATGAGATGTTGAACCATGATCATCCCGCTCACTTTCATTCCTTCATTTCCAAGCCGTACACAGAATCAGGACTTAAACTGGTGTCTATGCAGTGCATCGAGAGCCTTATTTGTGGCCCCACCACCTTCTACCTCACCACTTTCGCTTTTACCCTGCATGTTGAGTGCTAGCCAATAATTATCGAATCAGCCCTTAGTGCCAATCCTACTTCCATCCCAGTCCTCGATCAAGCCTCTTAGTCTGACTCGGATTCTATAACTTGCACAAAGATTTTGGCGCATGCAATTTTATTGGTGTAATATCAACAATCTCAAAACAAGCATAACATCAATGGACATCAACAACGGAACAACAACAAACTATCCGGATAGCTTTTCACTCATCTGTCTCTCTTCCTGAACCTCCTTCCTTTGGGGAATCCGATATGTAACCGGGTTTAGAGCACCATCTAGACGTAGGTGACTGTGACAGCAGATCCATCAACGCTGACGGAAGTCAAGACCTCGCCGTCCTGCTCAATGTCCATGAGGGTGGCACCGGAAGGAGTGACAGTCTCGCCATTGCTGATAGCCTCAGCTCCAGTGAAAGTGACAGTGCCGAAGTCAGCAAAAGCGACCAGAGAGTCACCGGACTCGAAGTCCTCAACAATCCATTCCGCGTTGGTTCTTGATGAAGGGTTAGTTCTTGTTGTCAGGTACAGTATCAGGGGTGATCATGACTTACTCGCAGAGGCTGCCCTCGACGTTGCCGCTGAAGCTGTGGGTGACGGATTGACCGGTGGAGACGTTCTCGACGGTGGCCGTGCCACTGGTATCGCTGGTGGCCTTGACGGTGACCTTGATCGAATCACCCTCGGAGATATCGATGTTGTCGAAGTCATAGGCGTAGTCGGGGTACCATTCGTACCAGGCATCGTAGTAGGTCTCGCCGTCTTCGTAGCAGAAGTCGATACCGGTCTGGAGGATGGCGGTCTCGCAGGTGTCACCGTCAATACCGACCCAGGCGGAGGCACAGTACTCGGTATCACCGCCGAAGTCACTGCTGAAGCCACTGCCGAAGCCACCGCCGAAGCCACCGCCGGAGCCAGAGCTTCCACTGGGGGAAGAGACCGAGGGCACGACAAATTCACCGGTGACTTCGGTGTAGCCCGAGCCAATCAGAACCGCACCGGCCCAGTTGGAGCTGTACTCAACCTGGGAGATGTTGGCGTGCTGAAGAGGCGTGTTGGTGGCAGGGCTCAACGGAGGGTTGCTCTTGCGCTTCAATCCGGTGGCACGGCGGGCTTCGGCGCGAGCCTCGGCGCGGGCACGACGCTTCTCAGTGAGAGGAGCAGCCAGAGCAGCGCTGGCGAGGAGGGAGCCGGTAAGGATGGTGGTGAACTTCATTTTGGCAGGAAGAAGGTTTTTTCACGAGGGGATGAAGGCAATTACTGAGCAGAAGAGAGAACCAGAGGCGATGCTTGAAGCTGTCCGATGCTGGATGGTTTCAAGATGGCTTGAGGAGAGGTTTTCAGTCCTTATTTATATGTTGACAGGGCAGCTTTCTGCTCGTCTGGCCACGGACACGACCAATTGACGCTGGGCAATCCTCAGAAAATTGGTTGTAGGCTCATGCAACCTCATCAACAATGGCTCCATAATCGTGATAGTCCGGCGGAGATTACTCGCTTAGGTCGGCGACAATATGAAATTGGAGAACGGAGTCGACCGTTCGCCGTCGGCCCTGATGGGGCATTACTCCATCCTTCAGCAACTATACAGTAGCTGCAGAAAGCCCCGTTGGCTGTTGATGAAGTTTAGTCAGTGGGTGTCGTTTGATGGAGCCCTCAGTATCCACTCTGACTCGGGGGAAGAGAGGGTGACGGGTGCGCGGACCTCCAGCCAAGACTATGGGGGACTACTCATAAAACAATTCCTAGACTCCAGTATGACGGTGTCAGCTTCAATCTTTCTCCGTCTACAGTTACGGCTCTCTTGTCTGGGGCCTACCTTTGGTCAATTCCTCCACGTGGCTTCGCGATGCTCATGCCAGCAGCGCAAAAATTCGAATTAGAAAACGGATAATCAGGGAGAGCAAGGTATAGCTGGTGCCTGGTGAGTCAATATCCCTGACATTAGTGATTGGTGGTAAAGCCTGTGCCTCCCTCGACCGAGGAATAAACGGAGGTCCGACGGGGGCGGCTTATCGGTAGCGACAGCCGGACGCCATCCTCAAGCCATGGCGCTGACGAGTAGTGCACAGATGCGAGGTAGACTAGTCTAGTGGCGGCGCGAGTGGCACAACAAGCTTTGAAAAACCAGGACAAGCCTTCCAGACTCAATTTGTTTGTATGATAAGGGAGGTTGTTCGGGGAAATTGTGGATGGGCCAACACTCGGAGATACGTTCGTTTGTGAGGAAATAAATTAATTCAATGCGCGGGCCGGAGCGAACTCCACTCCGTGCCGCCGATCTTTTCCCGCCCTGGCTGGCTCTTCTTCCTTCTTCCATGAACATGAACTTATCATTCGCCAACGTTACAATTCTTCCTAAACCAAACAATTACTATTACAATCAATCAATCAATCAATCAATCAATCAATCAGTCTGTCTGTCTGCTGCAATAGGCTGGAAAGAAATAACCAGTCCTCAGTTTCCAGCTTGAGCAACTTCTCCTAATCAAGCAGCTGCTCCGTGAGGGAGCAATTGGTGGGTCTCCGCATTCGTGATGGCTTCCAGAGATGCTTATCATGCTCATGCTGATAAGAGCCAGCTGCTACTGCAGAAGATGGAGAAACAATCCTTCGACTGCTTATCATTCCCTATTCATGCTCGGATGACCCGGATGCTACCCCTGGTCTCTAGGGTCAGTTAACGAGGGGTAAGTTCTGACTTCTCCTGAAGACGCAAGGCACAGCGTGAGCGAAGCCAACTACAACTTCGGCTAACCACTTAAGGTCTACGACAGTGGATGCACCGGCTTGTCGCAACTTGGATACTTAGGCTGTATTGGGCCTAATGGCAATCAATGCGGTTTATTTGCAGCTTCCCCTCACTCCGTCTTTCCACCCAGCATTGCACGAAGTGGGCCGACCCGCAAGCTTCTATATTAGGGCCGCGAACTATTCAGCACTGCGGGAGTTTCTGCAGTGTGACCAAGGTGGCCAGTTATTATTATGATGTAATTGACAGGCCCCCGAGTCTTCTCTCGTATGCATCGACCAAGTTATGGCAGCACCATTCAAAGACGAACCACTACAACGCCGGCTTATCTCGAGCTAAATACGTTCAGCGTCGGTCTCCGACGAGAAACCTTGCCACTCACTCAGCAGCTTCAAAGTTCGCTCGCATTTGCTTCGGATGGCTTCCACCGCGTCTGGGCCCAGCGCCAAATATCCCGGCCACTCTCGGCCACTGGCCTCGTTCTCGCCGTGGATGACATCCAAAATTCGGGCCACGGCTTTTGTTGGGTCACCCCGTTGCTTGCCGTGAGCATTTCGGAACTTTGCGAACGAAGCAGCCGTCAGGTCTCGATACTCTAGAATGTTGGTCTCAACAAATCTGCTGTTCCGCAGGCTCAGGAGATCTGTACGGAATTGGCCGGGTTCGACCAAAAGGGTTCTTATGCCTGTGCCGGCGGTCTCTTGGCCAAGCGCCTCGGTGAAATCTGGAACAAAAAAACATGAATGTCTATTCGTGGTCAGCAGGGGATGGGTCTCAGCCCACATCGAAAAGCCGCCTTGGAAGCACTATAGGCACCCACACCCGGGTATGTCTCCCATGCACAAAGGGAACCGATGTTGACGATCGTTCCCGCACGGCGACGACGAAATTGAGGCAGCAGGGCACGAGTGAGACCTAGGGGCCCAAATACATTTGTCTGGAACTCCCTGAGGCATTCCTCGTAGCTACTAAGGCGGTCAACAATGCACTCTTTCTTTTTAGCTCGAATCAAACCATACCTGAGATCTTCTACCGCTCCGAAGAGTGTGTAGCCCGCATTATTCACCAGTATATCGACGCTGCCATAAATCGCAAGGGCCGCTGTTGCTGTTCTAACCAGTTCCTGCTGCGATGCTGTCACATCAAGTGTGAGCGTAGCTGCGCCGAGCTCTTGCAGAGGGGCGAGCTTGGCAATATCGCGGGCAAGCGCGATAACTTTATGGCCTCGGTGGAGTGCCTGGCGGGCGAATTCGTAACCGAGTCCCGACGAGCAACCGGTGATGAGATAAATTTGAGACATGATTGGCACTTGGAAGTTCAAGAAATAACGTTCATGACTATAACGCATTCGGGAGCTATTCATATGCCTGGTGGTCGCTTGCCATGGTGTTGCCGAGTCCGAAGAATTTCGGGCAACGATCGCGATCGACGTCAAGTGACAGCGGCGTCGCCACAAGTCCTCCGATAGATTTCGGGGATCTACAAAACGCGGCTTACATCTCAGAAACTTGCAGCTACGTCATCTAACAGGGTCAGTCGGATGAAGATTTCAGAACAGTCTATTTTTATTTTGTCTATCCAGGACAGTTTCATCTATACTAGTTGATATCTATCCAGCGACCCTCCAGTCTCTCTCTAGGAGAAACTAAGAAAGCTGCAAAGCCCAGGCGATCTTTAACTATCCGCTGTAATCGATGGTAACGGCCAAGCGGACCGCGCCGCTTGAAAGGTTTCCTCCAATACCACCCACGGCACTCTCGGCGGAGGTGTAGGCGTTATCAACGGTACCGGCATCGGTGGTGATTGAGGAGCAGGTACTGCCCAGAGCATCGCAAATCTTCATGCCTTGGACGGTCATGCTGGCATCCTGGGCCTGGATGGCGCTAACATCGAATCCGGACCAGCCGTTGTTGGCATCGGAACCGAAGTCGAACTCACCCCAGGTGCAGGCATAGCCACCATAGCTGTCGGTGGGGAGGCTGCTGCCCGCAGCGGCACCGAAGCCACCATTGGAGTTCTCCATAAAAGCGACATACTTGGTCTCGCCGGCGGCCAGAGTGAGGCTGAGAGCAGAGTAGCCGTACCAGCCATCCATGGAGCCGTCGGGGCCGTACTTGTTCCAGAAGACCACGGTCCAGTCTTCAGTGTTTTGGCCCGAGATCTGCATCACATACTCGTACGAGGAAGCCTCGTCGGCCGAAACCTCGATTATGTTGCTGCCCCAAGGGTTGCCGACGTTGCCTTCGTATGTGTTGCCGGAGCTGTAGGAGGCGGTGCTGGCACCGAAGCCAGAGGTGGAGTAGCTTCCACTAGCCGGAGTGGCGGTCCAGTCGGAGGAGGAGGCCGAAGAGGACGAAGTGGCGGAGGAAACGACGGAGGTGGTGGAGGAAGCACCCCAGTTCCATTGGCGACGCTCGTTGCCCTGGGGCACAGCGAGGGTGCTGGTGCCGAGGGCGCCCAGCAAGAAAAGAGAGCGGGTGATGAACTGCATCCTGACTGACAGTATGAAGACAGTGAGTGTGGACTTTTGAGTTAGAGAACGTTCCTACGCGTCAAGCGAGGACTATATCTGAATGAAGTCGGAAAGAAGGAAAGGCTGTCGATACAATCAAGTATCGACGATAAATGAAAGAGAATGTGAGTTACTGTTGTAACGAGACGAAAAGACCGAACGAAAAAAGACTGAACGAAAAGACTTGATGTCTTTATTGAAATGAGAGTGACTGATGAACGAACAGGTGCACAAGAAGGAGGGCATCGGCCCCTCTAAATAGCCTGCTTGAATCGACCCTATGGGCCCCTCATCCGCATCCCCCTGGGTAGGGCTCTGGTCTGGACCATTGGGGTTTACGACGCCGAGAAAGGAGACTGTGCCACCCAGAGTGGGAACGGGTAAAAGAAGAGAGAAAGGGCAAGGGTGACGAGCGAATGCGTCAGCTTCGATCGATTCAGGAACCATGGAGAGGACCAGAGGCAGTGAAAAGCACAGGGAGCCGATTGGCTGTGGGGCAGAAAGTTGGGAAGAAAAACGCTACGCGCATGAATGGCCACGCAGGATGGACAGCGTGGATTTAGGGTTGGAAAGTCTCGACGATGGTGGGGAAAAGAGTGGAACAGTTACAGAGGTTTATTTGTGAAGGAAGACAGCAGCGGTATGTATTGCCTCTCTTCTCATTTCTATTTGCCGTGCCAATAACATGGCGGACAATCAACCTTGAGAGGATAGGTGACTCGAGACAATACCAAGAAGATCGCTTTGTGCTGATACAAAGGGATTTTCTTGGTATTGTCTCAAGATGCACTGCCTGCTTCCCTTGAAAGAAGAAGCGAAGCCGAACGAGAGCCAGGAGCGGGTCCGAGTACAGATTCTTCTACTGGCGCTAGTCAGAAGAAGATTGGAAAGTAGACTAAGGGCACGAGAGCAATGTATTATCCAAGAGGATTTGCATGGTCTGTGGTCTCGGGGACTTTGCTGCCAGTGGGGACTCAAGTTTCCACTTTTTATCTGTCTTTCTGGCCTCTGCTGCTGCTTGACAGCTGTTTGTTTTTTCCAGCTAAGCGAGTTCTTTTCGCTCGATTCCTCGGGGTCAGAGGTCGCTCTTCTTCGCCCTAGTTCGTCCTTTTGTCATCCCTGTAGATGACAAACGAGCCCTCCCATCGCATTGTTTCACAACGTGCTTTCGGGGCCTCAAAAAAGCGCACTTCACCCGGATGCCGTAGAAGGCCAACAAAGCGCAAGCAGAACAATGCAGCCACGGCTCGAGACTCTCGGCCAGGGACCGCTGCTCCACTTTTCTCTGTGGACTAGGCCCAACATGTGCATCTCCGCTGACTCATCTAGCAAGATCTTTTGGATCATGACCAATGGTGATACAATCCGTGATTGACATTTCCCCGGGTCAAGCGCTCACAAAGCTGATTGGTGACTCTGCAACCACGGAAGAAATGATTATATTACCTGTTCAGGCCAAGATGCAAGCCCCGATCCATTGGAACTGGCCCTTCTCCCAGCACAAAATTCGCACTCCTGCCCTACCACTGCACCTCCGGCAATGGGGCGTTTGGGGTAACGCGACGCATGGAATGGTCGGTGTGCGCGTACCTGACGATGAGCCAGAGATTGCACCTCGTCCCAGCCAGCGGGTTTCCAGTCGGTTACTTCCATCTGGTCCACGCCTTGACCATAATCTACTTGCCGAGCCATGTATATCCATGGACCAATGTTTGATTTTTCCCGAAAGAGAAAGAGAATCAGGAAGGGATGCCGAAGGGGAGAGAGCCTTTGGGGCTACTGATTCCATGCTATAGGGCAAGAGTTTTAGGGCATGCACATGACACTGCAAACACTCCACTGAGACTGGCTGGATTCCTTTTGTCAAGTGGGACACAGTGCAATAGCTCCTCCACTTTCAACTCAGGCACTGCGAATAAGACTTTGACGGGATTGGCGTGCCCTAACGGGGTCCTTGCACAACAGGCAAGTTTGTGTTATCTGTCCGCTCCACCACCTTCTCAAGGTTCTAGACTTTGACTTTGCGCACGACGCAGGATCTTACGAAGTTAATCTAGCCACCGGAGTTCAACTCACTCGGATTCAAATGCACCGGCATTGAGGCCCTGCTCCATGTGCCCGTGACTAAGGGTTACCTAGATCGTTCAAGCCAGTTGTCGATTCGTCTCAAGCAAGCATTGAGTCGCTTAGAGCGACAGCGCGTCACCCGGGTTTTTGTCGGGAAACGTTCACAACCTTACCCTGGACCCTTGTGCCCCCGCTCGCGAGTTTGACCTACGACGACAGATCCAGTAGAGTCAATCAAGTGATGGATACCCTACGTAGTCATTTAATCTCATCAAGATCAATGCCCGACTGTACTATGAAGCCTCGCTATAGTGAACTAATAGAGAACGCCGCTTTCGTTCGCTATACCGAGATATTCGTTATGCGGGGGTCACTTTGTATGTAAGTGGCCGAAAAGACCGGGAAAGAGTTCTTTATATGGAGGGAACTCGTTATAGCGAGTCTAGTCATGACGAGGATCCACAATATCCCCATTCCCCTCCCTCGCCACGCGAACTTGAAGTCGGACTCGACCATCCAATGCAGTACCCATCTTGTTAAAGTGACAGCCATTTTGACTTTGTGTTATCAAGGCTGGGGTTAATGGGGGCGAGTTGAATGCTTACAAAGAGTGGCCATCGTTGATTTATGAAGCCGAAGTGCAGGGTTTGGTTCCGCTGTCATCCGACAGGCTGAGCTTGCTGGCCTGCGGAGTGGGTTGATGTGGTCAGGAGAGGATCAATCGATGCTTTATCGGCTCTTGTGGTCGGGGGGCCTGTCTCTTTACAGTCGAGTGCAATGTCGACTTGGTCTGGTGTCTTGTCAAGGTAGCAGATAAACTGCAGTATGGGCAAAGGTTCAAGCTTCTTTCTTTTACTTGCAGCTGCAATCGCGATATAGCTTCTACAACGCAGTTTCACTTCTGCTTCCAAGTGTATCTGCGCTTGAATCTCGGTGAGCCCAGATCCGAGGCTCGCGTCGCGTCCGAATATTGTTCCTACATAACGTCCTTCCATACTCCGAGCCAAAACTCAGAAGTCTTTCTCAAAGAGCATGCATTAAACCTGAGAAGCTCGAAAAAAAAAACACGGCCCATACCCATATATGAACCCCCGACCTTACTCCCGCTGCAACAACACCAACACCCCCATCACTCCCAGCATAACCGTCTTCAACCACGGATGCTCCGACAGAAGAATGGTCACGTACCCGACAAACGGAATGTACCCAAACACACTGCCGACGACATCATCACGGTCGAGGTAATCCTGCCCACGCGCGTAGAGTTCCGTATCATCGGCGATGTTGTTGTCACCCTTTGTGAGGAGTTTCGAGTTGGACCTGCGCAAATTCACACCCCGAATTAGCCTGATGCCTTCACTTTTCAACTCATCTCAATCTCCACCCTGCTGCATCCTGTATCATGGATGCATCTACCTCCCCCACCCGGAAATCAAAGCAGAGCACGAAAAGAAATCCAAAGGAAGAAACCCACTCATCACCAAACTGCCGCACCACCCGATGCACGATCGGAATCTCCTTATCTTTGACCTGATACACCACAATCTCCCCCACGTTCAGCATGGGCTGATTGTTCCGGAGGAAGAGGAGGTCGCCGCGCTGGAAGGCCGGCTCCATTGAGCCGCTGAGGACGACGACGATCGGGCTGGGGGAGTTGGTGAGCACAGAGAGACCTTTCCACATCTGTGCAATCGTGTTGTCGCCGTGGTCAGCAAACAGAAAAAAAAAAGAAAAGCTCCCTATTGTCAATCTCTGTCGGGTAGATCCAGAATCAAAGCTGTTGCGGTTCGCGCGCGCAGCTAGCTAGCTGCGACCGACCCCTGCGCACGGGAAACGTACCATAAAGGCGGTGCTGAGCACCAGCCCGAAATTCAGGATCTGGGCGGCGGTTTGCCGGACATTTTGGATGCCGGAGAGCATGATTGCCGTGGGGCGTTGGTGTGTCTCGTGTGTAGAGAGGCCGGAGGGTGAAGGGGTGGGCGTGATGTGGGTGGACTTTTTCTCTCCCCGATATACGTATTCGATGTTGATTTGGCTAACAGGTGGCCTTCTTTGTTGATAGCGCGGGCGGACGGGCGCCGATGATGTTGATTCGCATGTGTCAGCAGCGGCGCGGCGGCTTCTCCGGGGTCGGTCATGTGATTGTGTTCTTCCAGAGATGGTTTAGAGGGAATGCTGGCTGTGCTAACCGTTTTGGGGTACGGGCTTGTTTTCGGCTCATATGAAAAGGTGCTGAGTGCATCCATGAAGAAGATCATGATGCTGAACACTGAGACTTTCCGGTCCTTGTTGGAAGAAGTTGAAGCCTTGTTATTAGTATATTTAGCTATATAGCGCATGCAGGTTAATGGAAAGATACTTAGCATCCCATATGCCGGGGGTGTGAAAAACAACAAGACACCCTTGGCAGGGTAAGAAGGAGTTCTACCTATGGAGGGGTTTTCCTAAATGCCCCCGAGAAAGATGGTAAGTCACCCATGATGTCAATACAGAGTACCTCCACCCGACTCCTCTTATATGTAACAATTACTGGAATTGGAGCATGTAAAGAAATTCGCTCATACCATCACCAAGTAGCTCTCCAGAGGTTTCTTCCTACTCAGCGCCGACGCATACAACTAGTATCACCAGCTCCTTCGTGAAAAATGGCAGGCGGGGTATCCCAAGGGGGGAGTCTTACAAGAAAGCATGGTCACGCCATATGTTGGTGGGGAGATATGCCACTTTCTCTGGTCCAGTTCTTAGATATTCTGCCATTGTCTCGGCTATTGGCTTCTTCCCTGGCCCAACGGCACTCACCTTCAATGAAGCATTATCACTGACTGGTTGTACTATTAACTCCTTATCCCTCCGTTTACTTATCAATGAACAATGGAGCTGATTGTCATACCCAATCCGCTTAGCCCATCAACTCCCTGGGTTGAATTATTCGGTCAGCCAGCCCTTCAATAGGCACGGTTATATCAAGCACCGATGAGAAAACGACTGCCACTCCCACCAATGCGCTGCCAATGGCACATAAATTAGAGCTAAACAAGCTAGAGACTAGATCGGCGTGACCGAAACCTGCCCAATGACGCAGTAGGATGCGCCAAACAAGGCGAGCTGAAGAGGTGTCAAGCACGCTAAGCATGGCACGTGCGGGGCGCAGCTCTCTGGGTTGGCTTATCAGTTGCTGTCACTTGCTATCGGCCTGACGAGTCCAGACCAGCGTTTGCCGATCTTGCAATGCAAGCCGTGCCGATGACGGAGGTGGGAGCGATAGGCGAGAGGTAGGACGAAGCTCCCAGGCTTCCAACTAAGCTGAATCAACAAGTTAAGTAGGCTACCCTGCCACTGTCAGCCGCAGCCTTGCTCCTCTTCCCAGAACCCCCTCAATTTGATCAGACCCTTCCTATACTCACTATCAGCAAGCATTCCACCGTCAAACTCGCCATCATGACCATCTCCCACTACGGCGTCTGGATCGGCCAGCCCACCCGCTACGAGGCTCAGACCGACGCCGAGGACCCCAAGTCCCCTCACATCTACCTCTACTTCAAGGACGACACTTCCTCCCGCAAGCAGCTCGAGGCCGCCATCAACGTCAAGTCCACCGATACGGATAGTCGCCTCGTCTACTGGTTCGACCGCAACTTCACCCACTCCATCACCGAACAGCTTGGCAGCCTGGACCAGGGTTTCCACCTTCTCACCAGCTCCGTGCACAGTCAGTCGCGCCGGCGCCGCGAGGCTTCGACCAGCATCCAGGGGCTGGACTTTGTCCGCACCAAGGGGCTGGTGGACATCGACGCTGGCACGGTTCTCGGGGCGGACGGCGATCAAGACATCCTCGACCAGGTAGACCCCATCCTGACGGATGCGATCAACCAGAAGGCGACCATCTACATCTTCGGCTCCTCGTATGGCTCGGGGATCCACGATATCCACATGAATCAGGGCAGCGAAGGCTACACCAACGGGATCTATGAAGACGGGGCCCTGTTGTTCCGGTTCGATGATGGGCATTGGGAGGCGATCTTCTTGGCCTTTGCGTCCCAGAAGATCCCCACGGATGACAAGGGTGAGCCCGAGAGCGATAGCCAGTCGTTGGCTACGATTCTGGGTCAGTAGGCGCCGGGCTGGTTTCGGGGTGAGGGGCAATGAGGTGTTACGTGTGTTGATTTGATAGGTTGATCGTGCGCTTCAAGATAGCATCAGTTTCAACGTAAATCAATTGCAAGACAAGCAAGAAATGCAGTAGAAGACTATCAGTGATCGGATAGGGCATCAGTAATTGACCAATCATTTCAAGAAGTGGAGGAGGTCTCGATGGATCGACTGTGGAGACAGTCCATCAACGGCCCCTGCAGAAGCTTGTACATCAGTATCAACGTTCTAGTAAACAGAAATTAAGGTGCAGCCAACAGCACCAACGCCACAGTGATCCGCTTATCTCTGCTGCATTCTCTCAAGGATCGTGTCCGTAAACGCCCAGAGGAGCGAGGAATAGTCAGAACAGAAGGTCAACCCCGTGTAGAAGGTGCTCCTTTGACCCTGCAGCGCATACAGCCGGCGATAGAATCCCGACTGGATGTCCTCCGGAGAAACCATCATGGTCGTCGGGGAATGATCTGCGAACGCGACGACCTCGGGCTCTCGGATCGAATACGTGCCTGCGGTCTTCATGCGGGCGAAATCCGACCCGATGAGCTGCTTGGCGTCCTCCGCGGTGAATTTCATCGGCCCCACGATCTTGGTGTTGGGGTGACCCGGCACCCCCATGTACTGGATCAGGGACTCGAAGGGCATCTCGGGGAGGAATCCCGGCCCCGTGCGGGGGTTGGTGTTGGTCACGTATCGGCCGTCCGGAATGCCGCTGTTGCTGGTCACCGCCACGTAGTAGTTGCGCCAGGACCACTTGCTGAAGAGGTCGCTCTCTTCTGAAGTGAGATCGAAGCCCCGGAGCTTCTCCATGGTTGGCGGGTGGGTCACAAGGAGCTGCTCGGCTTCGATGGTGTCCTGGGTGCCGTTGAGGTGCTGGACGGTGAGCGTGACGCCGGAGTCGGAGCGTTTGGCCTCGACGACTTTGGTCTGGTAACGCACGTTATGGAGAACTGCTGCTGCTGCCCGATACAACTCGTACATCCCCTTCTCCGGTGTGATGTACCCGCCGAGGACGGCGGATATATGCGGTACACCGAAGTTCTGGAAGGTGTAAAGTGCCGGCATGTCGAGCATGTTCCCGACCCCGTGCGCCCAGAAGAACAACATCGGTATCACGTCCTCGAGTGAGTTCTCTTCGATGAATTCTCGCAACGGGCGGAAGATGGCTTCCGGGACTGGATCCGGAAAATCGTAGAGACCCTTGTCAAGGAAGGAGAATTGCCGGAGTGCCAAGCGATACCGGACGAGCGCAAGCAGGGACTGGACGAGGCCGACGGGCGACTCCGCCATTCGACCGGTGGTGAAGTCCACGAAATCCTCTCCTTGGCAGCTGGGGAGGACACGGTGCCATTTGATCCCCAGGCGGGAGAAGAACTTCCTGCTGAGTTTGTCGTCGAAGACTCCCTGGACGCCGTAGTCGACGTGGCTACCATTGGGGAGGTAGTAGGTTTCCGTGTGGCCACCGAGCTGGCTGTTCTGCTCGATCACCACCACCCGCTTTCCGTGATCCTGGAGCCGAACGGCGGCGTATGCGCCGGTGGCTCCGCCGCCCAGGATGCAGACATCGTATGGTTTTGTATGTTTATTGGTAGTGTTGATGCTAGATGGAAGACCTGTCGCGAGGGGCAATAAAAGAAGTAAGAGACTGTAGTATAGCGAGATTGAGTAGATCATTGGGTTGATTTATCAATGGCAATTGAAATATGGTTCTTGCGGCATGAAGAGCTCCACCTATGCAAGACGCATAACGCAAAAGTCTGTGACTCAGGAACACCTTTATAAGAGGCAGTCAGATGTATGTAAACTAGAAAGCAAAAGAAGAAGGGAAGAAAGAACAACCTGAACGCCCCAATCATGGGCATACACCGCCTGTCAGACAACTAATGACACAATCAACTCGATTTTTCCACAACTCCCACCAATTCCCCGAACAAACGCTGGATTGCTTCCTTCTCTCCGGCCCAGAAACCCCCCTCTCCTCCCAACCCCAGATCCTTCCCCATCGCGGCGCGTGCCATGATCTCCTTCTCGGGGAATGTCAATCCCACAGTGCTTTCCAGGGGCACCATCCTCAATCCCTGCAGCACCTGCTGCAACTGCGCCGCGGCTTTGCCACCCCCATGACCGCCGTAGCTGACAACCATCGCCGGCTTCCCCTTCCATTCATTGAAGAGGTAGTCGATCGCATTCTTGAGACTCGCAGGGTATCCCCAGTTATACTGGGGGGTGACGAAGATGAACGAATCGTAGCGCGAAATCTCCCGCGACCAGGCCTTGGTGTGCTCGTGCACGTAACCCTCAGCTGATGTGATACGCGACGGGATCCCCGGCTCATTATATAGTGGCAGGTTCCACTCCGCGAGATCAATGACTGTGATGCTTGATTGTGGATGTGCCTGCTTGATGGTCTCGTGGATGAAGGTGCTTATTTGAAGGCCGGCACGGGGTGAACGTGTGCTGCATACGATAAGGCCGGTGGTTGGCATGGTTCGTTCTGCTTTATAGGATTTTTCGGGAGGGATGAGATTGGAGGGTGTGCTTCGTGGTAATACCCAGAATTCCTCTTGGTGGTGTAACTAGGATCGTATCTATGCTACAAACCCATCTAGGCTTGAGGTTTCATGATTTATATACAATTATACCCTTCGAGAGAATTCAGAGGTCTATTTCCGAATTGGGAAGTAGGGTCCGCGGGGCCGCGGATGTGTTCTGCCCGAAAGACCGACAGCTGGTCAATCTAGACTGGGCCCGTTCACCGCAGTGGGGGAAGGCCTGACTTCCAACTTATCGGCTCGGGACTGAGGAGAGGTGTCCATTCCCCCTCCAACTCACCCGCAACCACCAGCTTCCTTCCACCTTCGCCATGGCTTTTACCTTTTGATCCTTAAGCGGAAGCCTTCATTTGCTCGGCTTATAGACAGATTAATGTGGCGGTACATACCCTTGGGAAACCTGACATGATCGCATGATATACAGTGACTGACTCGGCTGGTTATAGGTGATACAGGCATCACCCAGAAGAGCTGTACTCCCCTGGGATGGGGCCCTGATCCTAGTCACACGGAACACGATAGTGCCATCGGTTTGCCGGTACCTAGGATTTCCAATGACATGTCATGTATGGTTACACGTCCGCGTCCTCTTCAGTCGGATATACCACGACGACCCTGTGACGAATCCCTTCCCCGAACGACGGCACTAAACTGCACGATGATTTCGGTTCTGCATGAGGTACGAACATCCTCAAGGACCAAGCCAGCGGTCGACTTCGCACATCGAGCAAAGGCCCAACGGGCAAAAAAAAGAACCGATTAAGCCGAACGCGGGGGTTGAACCCGCAACCTTGAGATTAAGAGTCTCACGCTCTGCCGATTGAGCTAGCCCGGCT